CATTATTCGTCAGATCGTTTCAATTTCGGGGTCCCGCATGTAATTTAGGCACTGTTCAGTAACACGGCATTGCATAAATAAGTAATAACAATTTTTATTTGACATTTCACGCTACCTGAGCCTCCAATGACACTCGTAGTCAGTCAGCAACGCAAAAAAGTCAAGTAGCCAGCTGCACTGCTCTGGATGCAAAAGGTAGAGGGTATTTAATGTTTCATCTGGGTGCCTGCTTCAATCATATAAGACATAGTGCACATAATTCGTCGGGTGCTTATATATTCGGCATGAGCAATATTTTTTTCGGCTTTGTTCAATCAAATTCGCCATGATGCTGAAAGGCGATAACAAGAATCCATAGCATTTCTTATCTTTTTGAACCAGCAACGAAGTTATGCACCCGATTCAGAAGCCCTGAATGCCACGTGACCGCCACTCGACCGTGTCACCGAGTTCTTAGAGCGAGACTAATGATAAGTTAATTCCTGAGAGCTGAAACTGCATTTGAGCAGGTTTTTGACCAAGATTCACGCTAATCTTGACAGGCAGATAGGGACTTTCAAACTATTTTCCCAATCCAGCAGCGAATTCACTTGAACATCGCCTAAATCGCTTTGCTGGACGCCGACTATCAGGCCACATGACGAAACCGTGCACTATGACGAAATTGAACCTACGGCTCATTGAATTTGAACGCACCATCTTGACTTCTAAATTGATTGCTCTTCATTTGAAACGTGTGCACTATTACCGAATATCATGCACTTGGCCGAACTAGAGGTGCACTATGCCGAACTGTCGAAATCGGTTGCACTATTATACTGAACTGTGTGCACTATTTCTATATTTGGCCGTAAAAAGGTGTAGCGCATTTCACGTTCACGTGACATCCCACATTCTTCATAAGCTCCAGAGCTTTGCTGAGGGCTTAAGTTGCGTAGGAAGGTGAGATTTGTTTACATAATCGCTTATTTATACCGTGCTGGATTTATTTGAACGTTGCCGTAAGCACATGCCGTATGTCGAAATTGAATTAACCTGACGAATTATTATTTGCACTAAGTCCAATGTGTCTGAACCTGGGCCACTTTTAACTGCACTATGATGGAGTGGGGTGCACAATGACGAATATCGTGCCGCAATTCAATGTATGAAGGCACTATGCCGAACCATCGAAATCACCTGCACTATTAATGAAATGTGTGCACTTCCGCCTAAATTGGGCGTAAAAAGGTGTAGTTATCTGACCTCACCTCTGAGCGGCTGAGATGCTGATTCTGCAGAGCTGGCGACCTGCTGAGCTGCCGAGCTACCCCGCTGTGCCTGCTGAGCTACCCTGCTGAGCCTTCTCAGCGTGTCGTGTCACAAAGACGCGCTGACCGGGCAGGTCACGCGCTGACCCGACCCCCTCCCCTCCCCTCCTCCTCGGATAACTGCATTATAGATAGTGACACGACTGCCGACCGGCCGGCCGCGATCGGAGAAGTTGGTCGACTCACCAGCTGCTACCACATGCATTAGCGGCACCGGGAAGACAAAGGGGGCAGCCGGCGCTCGTCTGGTGCCGGCGGAACCACGCCGGTCGGTCCACAATGGCTGGAAGTGCCGACCGCCGCCGCCTCGAACAGCGCCCCAGTGACCGGTGCCCCCCCCCCCCCCGCCTCCCTGGGAGGAGAGGCAGTGGAGATGGCAGGTGCTCTCTCTCGCCTCCGCCGACTGAATTACAATGGGGAAACTCCGTCAGACGGCAGCGGCTTGTCATTTCTGACAGAAATTGTGTCAGCTACTTCTCTGTGGGTGGAATTGTGATGTGTGTTATTCCATTACAGTATTACATAAGGTAGCTACTCATAATGCATCGAGATGAGTTCATCTGGCAGAGTGCTAGAGGATCAATCTCATTTGCATGGACTTGATTTCAAAGTTATCTAGTTCACAACAAGCAATTAATTCGGATGATGAACCGCACGTCTGTTCAGAAAGTCATTAACGTCGACTAGACAAACTGCCGGCTTTGAGGCTCCGAACTAAACAAACTGAAGTGATTGTGAATCGAGTTGCCTCACTAAAACCAACTCAGACGGAGTTCCTTTTTCAAAACCGATGCGGTTATTTTTGGAATAGACGGTTCCGCCTGCAGGTGCTGATAGGCTCGTTCAGTTTCCTGACGTTCAGACTTTTTATGCGGCCATTCATCATCATCGGCTGCGGCCGCTGAAAGCCCTGAATGCGCCTGATTTCCGTCAATGGCAGCCGAGGAATCCGGCGACCGGAGCCAATTCCGTAAATGGCCTGTCCTCTGAGTGGTTCGGCCGCGGGGGCTGAGCCGCTCGGAAGACCCAGCCGCTGACACAGAGGGTGTGATGGTGTTCAGTGGGGGACAGGGGTGCTAGGTGTGACTGTGGCGACGAATGGTAAATATGATGGTAACGGGACGGGGACAGTGACTGTGACGGTCACAGAAATAGTGACACTGGCTCTGTCAGGAACAAAGCCGTTGGTGATGGAGAATGGTTTGACTTTGGATCTTTCCCGAATTCCAGGACTTTGATATCGCCGCTGCACTGCACTGTTCCGTCACTACGGTAGAAAAGTCGCGGTCGATACCCAAGAGCGATAGCCGACTCGTCTCCCCGTTTATCCTCAACTCGTCCCCCAAGCTGTCTCCGTCTTGTCTCTCTGGCTGTCTTCGACTTTCTCCCTAGATATATCGCACTCATGCATTCGTTTGTCCTCAGCTCGTAGTCCCATGTGTTGTCTCCAACTTGTCTCCCCGTTTGTCTCTATTGCAGCTGCTCATTTGTATCTGACTCGTCTTCTCAGCCGGTGACTTGCAGGCCGTGGCCGATCCCTCTCCCAAATTACGGCCCGTCCGTCTAGTGGAGAGCACATCCCTTCGATTTCCGTCCGCTGCAGATCGCTGTTACATCGAGTTCAACAGGCTTTTGATGGTCGGATGCCGGTCGTAGCGCCGCTGTCGTACGAGATCAACAGCGAAAGTGCACTCGCATCAACCGGGAAACGATCGGGATGTTTCTCTCTGACCCAGGAAACGATCGAGGATATGGATTCTCTCTCTCTCTCTCTCTCTCTCTCTCTCTCTCTCTCTCTCTCTCTCTCTCTCTCTCTCTCTCTCTCTCTCTCTCTCTCTCTCTCTCTCTCTCTCTCTCTCTCTCTCTCTCTCTCTTTCCCTCTTCTCTCCATTTCTTCTCTCTCTTTCTTATCGTTTGTATGCATCTTGAACAGCGAATCTGTGAAATTTGTATGTGAATAAATTCACCAGTTTCTAGAGAGGCAGCCAAATAAATGCTGAAGCTAATTGCAACATTTTCATCATTTCGATCACTCTCAATAAAAATACCCGTGTATAGCTGCACAGTGCACATGAGCGTGAGAGCTGAATGATTGAGGCGTGGTATATCACTTGCATCTTTACACTTTGCGTAGTTACGCTCTAGCGATGACGGTCAATACTCAATATAGCGTGGATGGGAGCTAAGCAACACGAAAATGGCGCTCTCATTCTAACTCACAGTATCCTTTACCTTGCTTCGATTCCGTTACACTTGAATGACTCATGTGTGCCTTAACCCGCGAGTTGCTGGGGGGGGGGGGCGTTAAACGCCCCCACTTTTTTTCGCCGGGCCATAGCATAAAAAAGGCGCGCCGCAGGCGCGCCAAATTTTGGGTACCTGTAGGGAATTGATTGAAGTTTATTGTGACAAAGTTTAAAAAAATCGGTTGGAAAATTTTTGAGATATCGAGGTTTTAGTGACGTCATGATTTCTGAGTTTTCGACCAAAAACGGCATATGTTCAAAAAATCATATAAAATCACAGAATAGACATACAAACATGCCGTAAACGTCATTAGAATGCCAATACCATGAACAATCAAATGGCTATCTTCGATTATTGATTATTGTTCCGCATTTTCAAAAATCTTGAACTGAATCTTGACAATTTCTCGTGACTACTTCACGACCATGATACATGAATTTCTTAAATTGAGCTTTTTGAGCCAAACACGTACACATATGATAAAATGAATGTCACCATCGTGTTCTACGGCCCAAGTTACCCATAAAACATGTGTCATAGGCTGCGAATAACAGTTTTGATTTTCGGGGATATGTGCCTACCCGGTTGACCTGGCCTTGACCCTGACCTATGCTTGACTGACCCCTACATGGAACTGACACTCTTGTAGGCCTTATATGATGGATTGTGCACCGTTTTGACAGAGTTTCTGACGAGAGGCGCCCATTGCGAAGTCCTGAAGTCCATGCTACTGAAAGCCCGATTTTAGGTGTTTGACCTGACCTTGACCCGACCTGTGACCTCAAAATTCAACTTTAAAGTGCTCATCTGAAGCGTCTCGTCGCGTTCTTTCGTTTGCCGCCTCGTGCGTTTCGCTGCGCCTATTGGTTCTCGAGTTATCGGCTGGGGGCGTTTAACGCCCCCCCCCCCCCTCCAGCAAACGGTGGGTGGCGAAATACCCCAGCAACTGCCGGGTTAAGGCGCTGCTTGTGCAACCATAAGCTCTATTGACGTCACCGGACAGATTATTCTTGAGGACAGCACATGCCACGATCCACCATCATTTTTAGCGATGGGTATCAGCGAAAATGATGAGGCCGCTTTGCTGGAGGGACGAAAAATGGCCTAGATGAAGAGGTAAGAGTCTGGGGAAAATCGGTATTAGCTGCGATGGCAGGGATAAGTGAAGAGATGCTCGCCAGCTTTGCAGACAATAATGCATGGATACAGCCACTGACTGAAAAAAGGACACTCTATTGTATTGTGGTAAGAGCTGACCGCATCGATTGCTGTCTTACATTCAGTTTACAGAATGGCAAGCAGCATAAGTATGAACATTATTAGCATTATTTTGCATTAGATACAGAAATCATTTTTCGGCTTTTGTCGGACCGAGGTAGTTCATGAGATGCCGTTTGTCCGAAAGGTAGCCATTTTGGATAGTTCTGCATTTCATAACGCAAATTTGTACTTTTGTCATTTTTTATTTACGAAAAGTGCGAGGCATACAGGGCATCTCGGACACTGGCCGTCACTTTCCCACCGTCACTAGTGCAGAAAGCGTGCAAAAGCGATCAGCAAACAAACGTTCACAGTGTATCGTAGTCAAATACACGAGCTAATGACCATTTCCGTTCCGCTATATCAGCCACTTAGCTAATAACACCATCAATGCCACAAATCCCAGTACATATGAACCCGGCCGTCTTGCCAGATTGGTAGCTTATTGATATGTATTTCTTGGAAAGTTGCCGAAAGCAATGATAAACCTACTCATGTCAAAGACGAGAAACTTAACCTGAAAAGCGGGTGACACTTCCCAAAACAAGCAATGCGGCAGTGCCTATTCTAACATAAATCCGTACAGACTACCCGGGGTACCAAGCCTGGCCAGTGGGAGCGGGGACGGCGACTCTGTTCCCCTGGGATGCTGAGTCCCGAGTCGGGTCCCCACTCCCACCGGGGAAATGACGCCTGCTTCATGGGCAACCCCTCGTGACGGTGGACAATGACGGCCGGACCGGCGGCAATGGACGCGTGCCGTACCCATAAAGAACAGAAGACGAAGAGAGGGATTCCTTGTCGGTAACGGTACAGCTTTGATTATTACAAAGTCGGGCAAATTTCCATTACAAAGCGAAATTTGTTCTTACTTCACATTATGCTGCCTTGCGCACACTTATCACTAACTTAGACACCTTTAGGATTCTAGCAGGAACCGGATCACGCGAGCGTTTCATCACAGGGCACCACCGACGGTCAAATGTCTCTGTGGAGTTACACAGCGCGGTGAGTGATGCGTATGAACCTCTAACCTAGCGCGACAGCGCAGTGCAGCCGTTTCACCTACAGCGGCCAACACACTCACAGGATGATTTGATTTATCCATCATGCCACTTCAATATAGCACTCATGAACTTACTGACTAGGCAATGTCAATGGAATGGCATGCGCGAAGAGCATGTTCAGTCAATGTTTCTGCTCTGTCTGCTGTCTCTTTCCGTTCCTATAGCTCACTCGCCGCATTCTTTCCATTCTTTCTTCTCCCAGGCACTGTCTTTCATCTCCGCTTTCTCCAATCAAGTACCACCTCGCGGGAGTGGCACGGGGAAGTCATGCTTCGTCGCTCTACCGAAGCGACTGTAGCCTCTGCCGAGGCCCATCTCGCTGGCGCTGTAGCCTTTGCCGATGCCGAGTTCCTGCGGCGTAGCGTAGATGACGTCCTCGGCCGGGGGCTGAACGCTGTTGGGTCGGAGGGCGGCCTGCCAGCGGCGCCGCCTGAGCCGGTAGAACACGATGCCGCCCAGCAGGAGACCCAGCTGCGCCAGCGCCAGGGTCACGCAGGCGGCGATCACTGTGGAGCGAGGCGTGCACACCTCGTCCGCCCACGAACGGCCTGAGGGGAAAGGAGAGGCTAGATGTTGCGCGAGGATGACATGGCGAAGAGATAGTAACAATGAATCAAGTAGTCAACAACGCTCCATATAGAAACAGTTTCTGGGTGCCAGACAAATCAGTGACAGCCTTCTATGGGAACCGACGGTCTCCCATGATTCATCCTTTCCTAAAATCAGAGAAGCTTGTCATGTGTTTCTTGAAGAGACTTTCCAAAAGGTTCAACTTCCTAATCAAACAACCTGATTATGCTGATTATCATGCATCCTTTTCATGCAGTCGGTAGTGCCACCCATACAGCCCCACCGTGACTCACCGGTGAAGTAGTCGTGGCGGCCGGTCCAGTTGTGTCCGAACACTGGGTCGTACTCGCGGTGCCTCTCGGACGCCTCCCGGACCGCCTCGTCTGCGGCCTCCAGTCCGTCCTCCAGCAGCACCCGCACCTTCTCCGAGGAGATGTCCGGGCCCACCATCAGCTGAGGAGTGAGGGTAGACAGACGTCGTTACACATCGACAGATGAGTGTCATGCTGATGGGTCGCTTGCTATTATCGACTGTTACCTCCTGATGTGTCGATAACAGATACAGATATAATGATCAGTAAAAGTAGCAAAGATAACGATTAGGTATATCGTTTTCTAGTGATATGTGACTTGATGCAAACACATCAGAAGTTGAAAATGTTCTATATTAATTTTGACATTGTGAGGTAAGGCGAAGACTCATATGAGTAGAGCAAAATTTAGCCAGAAGCCATATTGCATCGATTTGCTGACTATAGACAAAGCATCTCACCGAGGCTGTTAGTGGCAGCGCCTGCGGCAGCAGCGGATCAGGCTCCTTCCGTGCGACATCAGACACCTCATTCTCCTGCGGGTCCTCCTCCGGAGCGGGCCGGCGGCGTGTCTTGGAGAGGACTGCCGCCACCCTCGGGCCCACGGGCACCTCCTCATCATCTTCCTCCGGGAGCTCCTCCCACAGGTTATCTGAGATTTCGTTCTGGTTTTCATTGAGGACCCCATCTAGCGAGTTCATCGGACGATCTGCAGGGTTATTGTCCGGCTGTTGTTCGTATGGTCCATCCGCGGGGTTGTTAGGTGGTTCAGTACCCGTCTCCGCGGAACTAGCCCAAACCGGCTCCTCTCCAAAGTTTGGTGGATGTTCTGGAGTCGATTGGGAAGTTGTGCTTGTCGAAGAGCTCGCTGGAAAGATCAAAGAATAGTGTAAGTGTACCGTTCAGTGACTAGATTTTTTTTTACATTCAAAGGAGGCTTCCGCTTTCGAGGAATAATATAATCATAACAAGTTCCGAATGTCGATCCAAGGAAAAAAATGTTTGCTGCGCACTCACAGGCCTCACCTTCAGAGACCACGTCAGCTGCTGATGATGGGCCAGCGGTGGTGCTCGTTGACGGGACGGGGGAGAGCGTTAACGGTAGGTCAGCGGTCAGGCCGATTCTCAGGTCCATGGGTACTTCAGCGGTGGCAGTCATCACTACGCCCTCCTCAGTCTCCGGCTCGGCAGTGTCGTTCAGCGATCGGCGCCGACGACGGCCGTACGAGTTGCCTCCAGGGCAGCGCGCCTGTGCAAACAAAGACACCAGTCAGTAGTAGAAGCTTTGACAGTACAGATTTATAGAACACAATGTATCAAAGCCACCAGCCAAGTGAGTGAAATTGTAGTCCAAGTGACTGACGCAACAACAGCAGGGCCCTGCTTTCTCTGACGGTCTAAAAACAGGCCTGCCTCAACGATGTGACGTTGCGACTATACCTACCGGAGGGCACTCGTCTTGACAGAACTGCACAGTCGCGAAGAAGTTGACGCGCGCCGTGCTGGGGAAGCGGAAGGCCTTGAAGTTGGCCATCAGATTCTTTGTCTGCCGATCTAGCTGAAGCGCTGGGAAGATGCTGCTGTCGCGTGGACATCTGAAGAACACAAACATGGATTGTGAGAATGGCAACATGGTGATATAAAGACAATTGAATATTCACACCATTTTCGCTTCAGTTTCAATGACCGCACTGTGTCATATGTAACAGCCTCGTCTTATGTTATGTATCGGCTTTTCAAGAACGGTGGTCGAAAGCATATGTCTCTGATTTGTTTCCAAAAACAGGCTCTTTACATTCTTAGCAATCAGCATGGGTCTTGGCGCAGCATATATGTACCTAACTCCCAATCCTTCAAAAAGCACCCCGCGGCGTCCATCCTGGACGGTCGACTCACCCCTGTTCATCAATGAGCGGCAGCAGCTCGCCGTTGTCGGTGCGCGCCTCGACGCTCTTTCCGAGGATGCCGAACGCGCTGCCCGGGTCGGCGACGATCATGAAGGTCAGGTCCTCTCCCAGGCTGACCTCGTCCGTGTCGCGTCCAGCGCGGCCGACGATTCGGAGACTAACACTAGGGGTCGGCGCAGTGTTCGTAACCACTGAAGTACCCGCCGGCCGAAAGGGCGCGCTGAAACAAAGAAGAAACATGCAGTGAGATTCATGAAACGTCTAAAGCACAAGTTCAGGTGTGACAGGCTACAGCAAAGAAGCAGGAAACAAGACACGTAAACTTTTACACGCTAGTCAGTGAAATGTACACGTCGAATGAGCTCAGTAAACAACTCCTGACGCATTTCCTGAGTTCTTGGAAGAAATACTCATCATCTCCGAAAGTCCCCTTTCTTACTTGACGTCGACGCCGCCTCCCTCGGTGAAGCGGTTCCCGGTGGGAGCCAGGGTAACCGTCTGGTCATTGGCGTCAAAGGTACACTCGACGCGCACCGTCTTGTCTGACTCCTGCATGATGGTCGGATGCTGCTGGATCACCACGTGGTTCACGTACCGGCCGCGGCCCTGCACAGAGGTCAAACGAAGGTCAAAGGTCAAAGAGAAGTCATGGAGAGGTCACAAAGGCATCATACATGGGTTAAACAGAAGCTACACATAGGTTGCATGATGTATAGTATCAGACGATGCGCATTGCACAGGGAAATTGATAAGTTTTTATTTCACAGATTGCACAAAGGACAGAATGTAGTCAGCTAGAAGCTGTGAAGGCGCGCACTAAATGGAATAAGTGGTCAGTGGATCTACGAAACACACAGGGCACATAAATAGAGCTCCTCCACAAAGGAGCATTCATGACTCACAGGTTGGCACAGGACCAATTTAGCGAAGCATGTTTTCTCACCTCCTCCACGGTGCCACAGCGGGATCCGAGCGGGATGGACAGCTGCACCACCTGCCTGCCGTTGCCCATGTCGAAGCAGGCCTGGGCGTTACCAGTCGCGTACACCCGGCCCTCGAAGCTCCGGCCGAAGCTGAAGGTCACCTGCATATCGTTCTTCGTGCACTCGACGGTCACTGGAGTGGAGGGGAGGGGTGAAAGGGAGGCGTTAGAATGGGCGGCTGGAAGAAGCGTTAGGTTGTGTGACGTGGTGAGTGGTTTCGTCTCAGTTGAGCTATGCTACAGCAGAGAAAAGATGTCCACATAAGATGGCTCAAGACTGAGCTCTATGTAGAATATCCAAGACAGTTAGGATAAATGATAACAATAACACGTCAAATGTATATTTAAACACACAAAGCTTTCGGTATGAAAATACCTTGATCACTGTGTTAACAGAAATGAGGACAGAAATTGTCACCGGCAGCTTGTACAAAAATATAAAATAGCACTCGAAAAATAGATCACAATCACGAGATAAGGTATCTATCGGGGTCCTGCCACTAAGTTTACAGCGCATGTTGCTAAAGTTATAAATCCAGTCCTAGTATTGATGGTATCGCGTGCTGATACGTGAGCCGCTTCTAAGATTTTTCGTGTCGTTTTTCGTGCGCCCTTCTCTAATAATCGAGTTGCTCCCCAGTTCGGTAAATGATGAGATTGTTCGGCATGTACGACGATTGCGTTCGATGTTCGATGAAACTTAAGGTCACTTTTATGTTCTTTAACCCGCGCCCCACTGGGGGGGGGCTATTTATAGCCCCCCTCCCGTTTTTCTGCAATAACTTCCAAACCGCTTGACGGATCGACGCCAAACTTTCAGTACCTTCGGCTGCATCAATTTGACACCTTGTGTCAAAATTTGAACTTCGTAGCTACCATAGGTCGGCCGGAAATGACGTCAGAGTGACGTCATGTTCGTCCGATTTCGACGCAAAACATTGAACCACGGCAATCGCTCCCAAGAGCTCAGTTTTTAAGCTAGATCCAATTTCTTTGCATGAAAGGTCTCAGAATTGACCGCGCTATCAAACTGCTATCTCGGATTTTCAAAATTTTGAAAATTTCGAAAATTATATATAATAATATTCAAAATTTATATTTTTATATTTTTTTCAAAAAGTTTTTGACTTTTCGAAAAAACCGGAATATATGTGACAGAACGCATGATTATGACTAACTCTAGCAAGTTTTAGCTAAATATCTTCAAAAATGGCCAAGTTATACGCATTATTGCAAAAAATTCAAAATTTTTATTTTTTTAATCAATTTTTCAGTACGTATTTGACATCGTACACCAATATAAATGGCACCATCGTGTTCCTGAGCTCAAACTGCATCCAATAGACACCTTTTTTGTTGAAAAATTTCAACTTCAAAATTTGACCTTTTTTGACCTGAAAGTGACCTGACCTAAGCTAAATTCGACTCAAAATGACCTCGAACGACACGGACGACATCAAATTCGAAATCTATGGCCTAAATGGACCATAAAACATGTGTCACGTGACCGACGCATGATATAATATTTTCGTGACCTGTGCTGACCTGACCCTGACCTGAAAATCAAAGTACAAGTTTGGTACCCTCAAGGTATCTAGAGCATCTGTTCACGAGTGTGGAAACCAAAAGTGAGCCTGATCTGACTTGTAAGACGGCGGCCAGAGCCCAAAATGTGAACAAGCCAAAATGCTAATAATTTTTACTTTGACCTGACCTGTGACGTCATCGGTGACCTTGAGGTCAATGAAATTAGGTTTCGCTCGACAGTTTTTCCGGGGCTATCAGACGCCGTTTGAATTTTGACGATCGGCCCAGTAGTTTCGGAGTTAGGAGGGGGGGCTATGAATAGCCCCCCCCCCCCCCAGTAGGGCGTGTTATACACAGACCCCAGTGGGGCGCGGGTTAAGTCTCGTTTCGACCCCCCTCCCCGTTTCTCCCACGTAGCTTTTGTTACACCCACCACAAGGAATTTCGTATACTACACTTTTCGGAGAATCGGATGTGTCGGACGTCTCTTTCGGTCTTCGTTCAATCATCTCGTGTATCTTCGTTCCCGTGTTCGTTGCTACTCGTACGCCTGTCTTCTCAAGTGATTTAGAAATAACCTCCGCGCTCTTGAAGTTTGGAATCGACATCCATTTTCGCTTTTTCCTTCCTTGTTCTTTTTCCTTTTGTTTTGGGTTCTTCTTTATCCGTTCGGCCTTTTGCTTTTGCCTTTTGCTGCGGCCGAACAATCTCATCATTTACCGAACTGGGGAGCAACTCGATTATTAGAGAAGGGCGCACGAAAAACGACACGAAAAATCTTAGAAGCGGCTCACATATCAGCACGCGATACCATCAATACTAGGACTGGATTTATAACTTTAGCAACATGCGCTGTAAACTTAGTGGCAGGACCCCGATAGATACCTTATCTCGTGATTGTGATCTATTTTTCGAGTGCTATTTTATATTTTTGTACAAGCTGCCGGTGACAATTTCTGTCCTCATTTCTGTTAACACAGTGATCAAGGTATTTTCATACCGAAAGCTTTGTGTGTTTAAATATACATTTGACGTGTTATTGTTATCATTTATCCTAACTGAGCTCTATGCTCGCAGCTTCTAGAGCACTAGAATCGGTAAATACTTAGAGCATTTTACAAAAGATTTTAGATAGCTCATCTAACTAGAGAGAAGGAACATAAATAAAAAAGTTCAAGCTAGCATTTACAGAGCAGCACTAATTAAGACAACGGGCGGTAATAGGTACAACGACCCCTCAGACATGCATGCGAAATACAACCAGGTGCACACGAGATCCCAGCCAGAGGGGAATCAGTCGGCGGAGTACATCATGCGAGAGAGCTACCACTATCAGACCAGTTCACTACAGACGACAGACTTCTAAGTATCTCGATAGAAGGTTGCCAGGATCAGTCTCATGGAGTCGTCTATAGGCTACCAGAAATACCGCTTCTGAAGACTGAAGAGCCTCGGAGAGCTTCTCCATCGAGGCAGTTCCTCTACAACTGCTAATGAAAGGCTGGTCAGTTGGTCTACCGAGCCAACCGCACCCGACGAGCGGGGAAAAGAAAAACTGCAACTAATAGGCGCTTGGAAGTCGATGTCAGTGGTGTGTACACTGTTCAAGCTCGCGATCATAATTTGTCTTTAGCAGACCACTGGAGCGATTTTTCAACATAAAATAACACGATTCATCAACATCAACTTCAATATTGAACAATTAAAAATGAAACGATGCAATGGTGCCGTCAGACTTATGAAATATAAATGTCAAAATATAAGAATGTTAATATGAAAAATATAAATGTCATTGAATTTTAACGATAATTTGTTCTTTGACAAAACTGTCCAGTGAGAAAATTGGCATTTCTGCTCCGTATGTCAATTACTCAGTGTCCGTGCCTGTTGAGCCTGGTCCGATGGTGGCTCCCTCTCCGCCGAAGTACTCCGCCTCCGGATGCTCCTCCAGCCGGGAACTGTCGCCTCCAGCCCCAGCGGCGGACTCCAGCGCCGGTGACTGGAGTCCAGAGTCCGCCGGTGACTGTCCGTGGGTCCCGGAGGCTGGGACAGCCCCCTGATTGTGCTCAAAACTGGGAGGAAGGGGAGAAGGGAGCCTACCCCGCTGCCAAGGAGAGTCAGCGTCTGCAGAGCCACTAGCTAGGCTCCGATGGAGGTCACTCCACTGCAAGAAGCCGTCCTCTATTCTTTCCCTAAACTGATGTTCCTGAGCCGCCAGACCATGCTGGTCCTGATCCGAATCCAGCAGCACACCGGATCCCTCGGACAAATCCGGCGGGATCCCTCCGTCACTCCACGGAGTGGGATCGAACCGGTCCCCGCGACCCAGCGCGGCGAATAAACCTAGCACGTGACCGGTGACCAGACCAGGCCCCAGCAGGTCCTCAGACGAGTCTATCTCGTCCTCCACTGGTGAACCCAACGGAAGACCGTTGGTCGGGTCTAAGTCAACCTCAGGGCGACCAGCCGTTCCCCACTTAGTCCCCGTCCAGATCTGTCCACTAGCGGATACAGCCGGAGATCCTATTGGAACTCCCGCCGCACCCCTTGACGGCCAGAAGAGACTGGTAAACGGGCGCGGGTCGGCCGCCGGATCATAGATGCCGCCTGACCCGGTGACCTGACCGTGACCTGTCGCCGGCGAATTACCGGTGCGACAGACGCCTCTCTCGCTGAACACGCTGTCAGTGTCGGCGACCAAAGCAGACTCCCCCAGACTGGTCGAGTCGTCGCTGCTGATGGTGCACTCGCGCTGGCGCTCGTTGAAGTTGTAGCTGCGGCACCTGAACGGGGAGGGGCAGGAGTCAGATGCTGAAAATTTGCAAAGTATATGAGAGTTCGCTGGATTTGCAATATCACATCGGCAGCTGAGCATTCGGGAAAATCGGGACCTGTTAGAAAGTCGTAAAGTGTGGCTGCTATGTGGTTTTCCGGGGTGCTGATCACGAATATCGTGTTAGTTTTGATCAGAGATGATGTCTTTAAGCATTTAGACCAGGTCGGGTCAGGTCAGGTCAGGTCAACCGGTAGGGGTTGTGACGGATATTTGTAATACGTGTCAACCGCCTCTGACAGCTTCGTAACATGTTACGAAGACACCAAAACTACTTCGTAAATGTTCAAATGGTTGCTAAATTCGTATTCAGCTCCAAAAACTAGCCTAGAAACATGTAAAACACGAAAAAGTGAACCGAGGTCACCCGAGGTCACTAAAGGTCAGTGACCTGACCTGACCTTCAGGTGACCTTGACACCCACCTTAATGCATGGGAGCAACATCAAATCACATGTTTGAACGTTTGAAACCACGAAAAGCCTGCAAACGCGCGGCTAATGCGAGCCGACATACGCCGAATCGCGATTCCGGCCAAACATGGTCTCGGAAAAGAGGTCACAGGTCAAAGGTCATTTGGGTCAGGGTCATGAAAGTTTCAGGTTGGGTGTAAAATTGATCAATGCGAGGGTACTGAAAGTTTCGTTGCGATCGGCCGCTTTTTACGCGAGTTATTCGCAAAAAAAACCTTAGGGGGGTTGCATCAACCCCCCCGTGCCGGCGAGGGATAAGAAACGCCGATATAAGTAAGAGACAGTTGTAATGCGCTTTCAGAATATAATTTTTTCTAATTTTTTATTTATTTTGTTTCTGATTATCTACGTAACGATGCACAATGTGCGCTAGCCAAAGGGCTACGTTAAACCCGCCAATAGATGGCGGGAGTTAATTGCCTGAAGTGATAGGCTGACCCGCAGTGGTAAAGTGTATTGCGGGACAGCCTACCAGCGCAACAGTGAGTGTCATGGCACATGAAAGGCGATTACAGGGTATTTTCTCACATTGTCTGTGCAGTTTAGGCATCAGGTGTGTCAACAGTCAAAACTTCTTGCGACGGCTGCTCTGGTTTTCACCAAGCTTGTGTCTGTGTGTGGGCTACACGGTTCAGTTTACTCACTTGAAGTCGCGCTCAACATCGCAGTTTCGCATGCACTCTTGCTTGTTGCGGACTCGGGCGAACATGCGGTCCACGTAGGGCAGGAAGCGGCCTTCCACGTCGCGGTACTCGCAGTTTGGTGGATCTGGGGAAGAAAGCAGTGTCTATATACTGAAACTCTGCTGAGAGTTACTCTACCCTTTGTTTTGTTGCCCTCGGGAAGTTTTTTTCGGACTCTACGATTACGTAACTTTTGATTACCGAGAAAGCTTCTCGAGGATAAGCTTATGCGAATAATAGTTTATCGTATCTTACTAAGTACACCTTACTAAGTATGAGTTGTTTTCATATCAAGACATGAAATAATACCTTTCCTGCCATCCTTTACAAGTTACAGTTCACGTATCTGATCTCCTCCAGTATCATCCTTTCCTCACCGGGAGCACACTGGTTCTCGAGATAGTCGACGTCCTCGGCGTAGACAAAGTCCCTCGGCTGCATCCTCCGTGTCTGGGTGGACATGGTGCATGTCTGATCCCGGTAGTTGTACTCGGCAGACCTGTGAATGTTGAATTACAGTGTGGTAAGCGTCAAATTTAAGACACACGAATTCATAATGTTTTCTCGGATATTTCATTGACAAATAAAAAAATGGGTTATTGCTAACCTGCAAGGCATGCGAATATTCTGCAGGCAGAGCATCTGGCAGATCTCCTTGCTGGGTACCCGCCGCTGCACCAGGTCGTCGTGGCCCTCAAGCATGTAGTTGGGGACACGCTCGAACGTCCACCCCTTGCCGCACGTGCGATCTACGGAAAAGGGAATTATACACTCAGGGAGGAGGCAAGCTCCGGGCAATACGTCTCGGGATCGGATAGACCAAATATGACGGCCTACATGGGACCAATTTTCTCAATTGCGTTGGTGTTTATTATTACGACATACGGGTACGCATGGAGAAATAAAAACTTTAATTGAACAATCCTGCTGAAAAAAAAATATGAAAGTTTAAACAAAGCTTCACAAATATACAATAATTCAAACAGTAGGAAGAAACAAGTCAGCCAAAAGGACAATGGTACGTTGTCTCACTGTCAACGTTTCACTGATTGTAATATAAATATATTGTCAGGCACCATGGTCTAAACTCACGTTCGATGCAGACTTTCTCGAAGTAGGCCACGCCGTCGGCGTTGCTGAGGGAGCCGCCGTCCTGGCCGGCCGAGTTCTCCAGGCCGTAGCAGCGCTCTCCGCGCTCTCCGTACTCCAGACTGACGCCGAGACAGCGCGGGTTCCGCTCACACTGCGGGAGGAGGTCAGCGGAGGTCAGATGATGGCGGGAAAATGAAAAGCAGACAAAGTTCAAAAAATTTATGTCATGAATCGCAGCAAAGTGCGGAAATATTAATAATTAAACAGCATTGGTCATCAACACTTGGAATAATTTATAGGCACAAGATTCAGGGTATTTTACATATTTCAACTGGAAGACGTTGCAGACAAAAAAAAAACACTAAGCTTTATGCATCGTAATTTATTATCCAGTCTAATCTGCCGCGTCAGAAAAATGGTCTTATAGTGGTAGGCAGAAAATAGTCCTAGGAAAAGAATTAAGCCTTAGTCTGGCCCGATGCCTGTCGAGCTTGGTTCCCGTCTGACCTATCTGTAGTATCCCTCTGACCTGCAGGAGGCAGGGCACGGTGACGCCTCGTCCACGCGTTCGGCTCTCGATGTCGAACCGCCTGGCTCGCCGGTACTCGACGTTCAGCACCTTCTCGTAAGTGGGCGTCACCCGGCAGCGGCGGATGTCGGGCGACCGACGACCGTCCGTGTCCACCTCGTTTGACCCTGGCGAGTCCGTGGTGGGCTCTTAGAGAGGGCGAGACGCAGCCGGGACGGTCAGATGGGTGGTAGGGGAGAAGGGGAACCAGCGAGGTAAAGCGCCGGTGCTGAGTCCACACCACATCGATGCTACCATCACCACTGTGGTGCCTTTTGGGTTAGATATGCACTGCATCGGCAGCGTCCCAACCGCAATGACCTGTGTAGGATGCTCAGTGTGGAATACTTATACAATGTCGTGTGAGTACTGTATCAATATGGTACAGTGTATCGCAAAATGTATAAGTACGTAAGAATACAAACTGCGAATGTGTATTGCCAGCTGACGCCGCCCACCCAAGCCGCCCACCAAGCCTCACTTCATCCGGCTTCACCATATCCATCACTCATCTCACCTCATCTCACACTCATTTCATCTCATTTCCCCGTTCACCGCACATTCTCTCGTATGACATCACCATGATAAGCAATCTCAGCCCCACGGCCCACACCGAAGCGGGGAGTAACATACCTATGACGTTGGCATTTACACTCGGTGAAATATACAAAGTAAGCACACGATGTTTCGAAAATGTTCACTTTGCGAACAATCGAATGTAATTGCAAGAAAAGGTTTGCCATATTCATTAGCAGGCTAAACCTTTTGCAGATAAGCACATGCAATAGGCAACACAGGTTATATAACATGGATATATGAAGATATATGTCACTTCATTAACGCAACGCATTTCTGAATAAATGATTGCTGATATGCAGCATGAATAACATTTGGGTTTAATCTAAAAAAGGCTCACATTTCTTAATGAATCTAACATAAGGAGGAAAAAACTAGCCTTTGCAGCACGGAGAGATTTGTCTCCATTCGCAGCCTTACCTGGTCTGTCTGGCCTGTCGGGCCTGAATGGCCGGTCAGGCCGGTCGGGTCTGTCGGGTCTGTCGGGTCTATCGGGTCTGCCTGAAGCGCGGTCCTGACAGACACGCTCGGCGTACAGACTTCCCTCCAGGAAACGCACCCCGCTGCGGTCCAGGTCTGCGGCCCGCACTCCCGACAGCAGGCACGTCATGTCACGGGCGCGGCTCTGTCCGAGAGAACACCGCGAGACCGTCAGAGTGTGAACACAGTGCGGCCGTCAGAACATCCTCATACAAACTTATGAATGTAGCCCACCAGATCTAAGTAGATTTAGAAAGTAAATCTAAGCTCACTCACGAAGTTATTACGAAAGTACGAATTCTGATAATTGAAACATCGATAAAAATTATTCAAGTATTCATTCTTCAGCAGTTCTGTTACAGAGGTGCAGAAAGACAGAGGTAAAAGCAATGGACGTTTCGCTGCACTCTTATCAAATGATTCGCCTTTCTTTAGTGTCCTCTGCTACTGACCGGAGGCAGGAAGGAGTAGGAGGCGCAGTTGAAGTCCCGCTCCCTGTCGCACGCCTCTCGGCATCGGCCGTCACTGAACGCTGACACCGCCTTGTGCGTATACAACAGGAACGCGTCGCGCGCCTCGTTACGGTACGAACAGTCCTCGAACTCTGTCGGATGAGAGAAATGCGTTACATGGTGCAATACAAGCTGGGGAATGGGGCTGGAATACGTCATATGAAATGGAAATTTTGGCGGTTAGCGTTTCAGCGTGAAGTATGATTCATCTACTGTATACACCACAATATCTCTAACTCAATTGGAACGCAAGATCTTCGGAAAAGACTTACTAAAAGAGCATATTCGGATTAAAACTGGAAAACTTTTATCAATTTTTCTTCAATACTGTGAATTCAACCAGCCGAGTTACTGAGAAACATTTCAGGGGTGAGCAGGATGTGTGTTTTTACAATCACTTCACCAGCCATGCGTCTCTGTTCACCCACCTCTAGCGCACTGGTTCTCGAAGTAGTCTTTGCCGTTGGTGCGGCGCAGGGCGCGTGGCGCACTCTGCCGAGTCTCCCGGCTCAGCAGACACAGTCGGTCGCGGTAGTCGTACGTGGCAGAGCGGCACTCAAAGCTGCGCTCACTCAGACACGCGTCCTGACACTCGGTCTTGGAGACTCCGCGCAGGGCCCTGTCCTCGCGCACAGACAGCTCTGCGTTCACCAGCCGCTCGAATGTGTACAGCTTGGAACAGCCGCGGCCTGGAACGGGTGCACGAAGAACGGGATTAGAATCATCGGAAACATCAGACTTGCGGAACTGGATATGAATCGCTTGTGACGTGAGCCAAGAATAGAAACTGTTATATGTCACGCCTCCACTTCCCTCCATTCGCCAAGTAGCTGCCGATCTCCCTGCTATTTGAGGAGTGCTCGAACTGAACTTACTTCTGAGGCAGATTTTCTGCATGAAGCTGACGCCCGGAGTGTCGGTGAGGTCTCGTGAGTCGACCTCGACGTTCTCCCGAAGCTCGAGCGCCGAGCAGCGCGGCGGCTGGCGAGTGCCCCCTCCGTGTTCGAGGTTGAAGGCAGAACAGCGCCGGTCTCGGTCACACCTATTGGATCACAAACACAGTTGGGTCAGAGGGCAGCGGTACGTAACGAAGGGAGGCGATCGGCGAATCACGAGTCAACACTGCTGAAGGAAATGGAATCAAGTGTCTGCACAGCGGACTGGCTATGTCCGCTTTCATGCGAACTTCTGACCCATGACAAAGTTTTGGAAAGGACCATAAATGAAAACTTAACTTTGTTTTGCGAAAAAAAAATTATTCGCTGGCCGAAACTGTACGCTGAACCAAACTGAACCTAAGCTGTTAGTCACCGTGAGTAGAGCAGCAGCGTGACTGAACGACTTTCGACGCGGGCCAGTGACGGTACTCAGGGTCTGGTACTCACTACTCAGTACTCGGTACTCGGTACTCACGCTCGGATGCAGTCGGCCATGATGCCGGCGCCCTCTCTTCCTGAGGTGAGCTCGACGCCGCGCACCTGCCTCATCTCGACCCCAGTGATCAGCTCGTACTGGTCACAGGAGCCTACGGGGTAGGCGGGTCGACGGAGAGGGGTCAGTTACAGGAGGGAGTGGTGTGGAATGCACCGGTGTGGCTGAATGAACGCGCAGCTGACGGTTTACGGCAATTATTATTGAAATGGAAAACTAGTTTTGTTGTTAATGATCTTGAAATGCAAATTGAATGCATAGCAGCAGTAAGACTCACCTTAATTGTCAAAGAATGTGTAACCCTGACGTCAGATATGGAACAACTCAATGCACAATAATCAATTCGTGAAATTGGCGAGGTCGAGATGTCATGCATTTAGATAAGCAGCGGATAGTTTTGTCCGTGAAGTAGGGGAGTAATAATTAGTTGGAAGACATGCAGATGATGTTAACACAAAGAATATGGCAGTTAAAAACAAGCGTAAGTTGATATCAGTAAGGCATATTTAGAAACACAGACAGCAGCAATTGATACAGACAGTAATGCCTATATAGCAATGCAATTGAAACAGACGATGAACACTGAACAGGTAAGCAAAGACATAACACCTTTTCGATAAGTACACGAAACTATCGTCAACGGATCAAGAAAAAAGATAAAAATATGAAAGGATTTGACAATTTGGATTTCTGCTTATTCAAGATTTTCTAAGACCTTAGCTTCCTCCTCTCATATCACGCAAACCTTGGGCTAACCCGGCCGGGCCCGGGGGGTAATCCCAACCACCGCAGCCCGGGGGGGGGCGTTTTTCGCCCCCCCTGTCTAACTCCGTAAATAAGGGAGCTACGGAAACAAAAGCGATACCAAACGACAGGTCCTTACGAGACAATTCTAAAGCACCTAAAATTTTTGACCTCAGGTCAATTTTCAAGGTCAGAGGTCAAGGTCAAAGGCAAAAACCGGCACATGTGTAGTGATCTCAAAGTAAGCCTTCTACAGGACGGCAGGCGGCATCAAACCGGCAAAATTGGGTGTCAAACGAAAGAAGAGAATCTGAGGATTCCGAAAATATGCTCAAAATCAAAGTTCAAGGTCAAGGTCACGCTCAAAATTGACCTCAAACTTGGCACTTTTTCGCACATCTTGCGTGCTAACTTTCAAGATGTTTTAAAATGTTTTGAGGCTTATCAGTTCCCTATTTGTGGTTCCTCTTACGATACAAGGCTGTTCAAAGGTCAAGGTCACTGAAGAGTATCCCTGCTAGAGGCTATTTCACTAATTCAAGCTAGTAATAATAAATAAGACAATTTTGCCATCCGGAAGCTCTAAATGAAGGCTTAGAGGAAAATAGATGCCAGATTCGTGATCAGCGGGTACAAATCCATCATAAACGACCTTTCATGTGTCCAGGTCAACCAGAGGTCATTCGAGGTCACATGAGGTCAACATAAAATTTGACCTTTTCCGAACAAAATATATATCATTCGACGCGGCTTGACAAGGCGAATGCGATGGTACCACTGCCGTAGCTCTAGGACCATTTTTGTCGAAGTTATTTGCGAAAAACTAAAACCACATTTCGGGGTCGTTGACCTGACCTTTGACCTCAGGTCACCAAAACTATTTTCCTATTTTTCTCTAGGTCAAACGCTACACAACCGTGCTCGTAATTTGTCTTTATCTCTAAAACTCTATTTTTAGCAGCTATTTGAAGTTTGCGTCTGTGACGCCGAAGTTTGCCGTGCAGGGGTCTAGAAAAATGGACCTTGTGACGTCATCAAGGGGGCTAGGTCCAAATTTTTTACTTCAGAAGATGTCAAATTGATGGGAGAAAAGGTACTGAAAGTTTCGCTTTCCTATCCCTAAGCGTTCGGGAGCTATCGCAAATATTCGCCAGGGGGGGCGAAAAACGCCCCCCCCCCCGGGCCCGCGAGGGTTAAGGAACGGCTTACATGGGAAAACGCAGGACAATGCATGTTGCATCTAGGGTGTTATATATCTTATCATATTTCAGGATTTGATAAAACGATGAAAATTTGAAACTTTTAGAACTCCATTCGTTATGCGATCAATGAAAATGGAAATAAGATTCAGTTTTGGTTTTATAGAGTAGAAAGATCACATAAGTACCCACAAGTGAAAATGCACAGTAACGTGGAAAGTAAAGCTCCTCAGATCAAAGCTTTGCCATTAACCCGCGCCCTGCTGGGGGGGGGGTGTTTGAACACCCCCCTTGTGGTTTTTCGCGAATATCTCAAAAACGGCGGCGCGGAGCGCCGCCGTTTTTGGTACACCTTATCATACATCAATTCTACACATGTTGTGAAAATTTCAGACCAAGGTCATTCAAGGTCAGGTCACCAGGTCACTTGAAGTGACCTCACCTCATAAAAACTTTCAATGTCTGTCATAGTTACACCGAGTGACCGATTGCTTTGAAACTTTCAGCGATTGCTAAGGGCAATAGCATGTACAAAATGTATATCTCAGAATTTTGATATCGATGACCTAAGGTCAGGTCAATTTTGCGACCTCGCCATTATAAGTCAATGGGAGAAAATTGAAATGCGCCTCTTTTGGATGCAAGACATTATAAACACTCCCAAACACCGAAATACAAGTGGTTTAGACACACTGAACATGAAAATGGTGTCCGTGACCCTTGTTTATGCCCTGAGGTCATCTTAGGTCACGAATGGTATCTAACAGTTTTTCGCAAATAACTTTTGATAGAGGCATGCTAGAGCGATGAAAACGCCTCAGATGAGTTCAGCTCGACGATACGGATCGACTGATATGCAACATGACCCTTTCCGGTCAGGTCATGACCTTGACCTGAGGTCAAATTTTCAAGTTGACCTTTCAAGGTCAAGTTATAGTTCATTCGATGCGTCTTGACGAGAGGAACACGATGCCGGTAAAAGTGAGCTCGTACAAGGCTTGGGTCAAAAGTTATTGCAGAAAAACCGTTTTCGAAAAAATCGGCTATTTTTGCAGTTTTTTCCCCCTGCAGGCAAAACCGTTGACGTTAGGTCAAATTTGCGAGAATTACTCAAAAAGGGCGTTAATAGGGCTATCGAATGCGCTTTTCCGCGGCGCTCTAGCTCTATTGGTTCCCGAGTTATGCGTTGGCTTCTTGGAAATTTTCGACATTCGACCTGGAAATCGGCCAAATTTTGCCTTTAATGACCTCTGGTGACCTGACCTTTGACCTGACCAAAAAATTGACTGAAGTGATTTCGTCATTATTTTTGAAGCTCTTTCGAACGCCGCCTTCCGCGTATCGCTACGTGGCCCAGGAGCCGAGTTACAAGGGGGGGGGGGTGTTCAAACACCCCCCCCCCCCCCAGCAGGGCGTGGAAATCCAGGACCCCCAGCCGGGCGCGGGTTAACATAAAACAGCGAAATTGCTAGCATTGAAAGAAAAGATGTCTGTTAAGTGCTCTGGCGTGACATTGAAAATCCCAAGCCGTTCAGAGTTCCCATTTAGAATTCAGAAGGCGTTGTTTCAGTTAGCGTCAGGTTCAGAGGCCACCGGAGAGTAGCGAAGTGTCTCGTCTTACTCTGATTCCGTATGCTCGGCTCGGTGGCCGGCTCTGTGGCCGGTTCACCGCCGGGGTACGGGTCGAGCTCGGGTCCGAACTCACTCCACTCTAAGCCCGCTGTGGTCACTTCTGGGGTCATCAGTACAGGAGGAGACAACGCAGGGAGGTCGGGGAGGTCCACAACGGTCGGTCTCGGCCCCGGGAGCGGCAGGACGGGCCCGGGCCGTCTCCGGGGCGGCGGGGGCGGCAGGGGCGCCGCTCCGGGGCCGCCCCAGCCCCAGGGGAACACCACTGCTGGGGAGGAGACACGCCGGCCGCGCCGACCGTCCCCGAACACATACAGCGTCCGTCTGCTCCGGAACAGGGCTGGCCCCGCGTCCGGACGGCGTCGGTGGTCACCTGGTCTGTCCGGCTGGTCAGGGCGGTCCGGGAACACCGGACGGTCCGGCCGATCCGGAAACACAGGCCGGTCCGGGTCCGGGCGGTCCGGACGGTCCGGGAACACGGGTCGGTCCGGGTCCGGCCTGTCCGGCCGATCCGGGCGATCCGGCCGATCTGGACGGTCCGGACGATCTGGACGATCGGGACGGTCCGGATCGCGTCGCCGCTCTCGACATTCGCGCTGGTAGAAATCGGTACCGGCCCGAGAAGTGTACGCAGTTTCTCCCGCCGATGCTGCAATGAGAAAGTAAAATATGTGTCTTAGTTTGTTTCAATCCTTTGCATGTCATAAAGCTGGTATAAATATTTGTAAAGTTCATTGAAGTAAAAAAAAATCAGCAGGGCATATCATTTCGGGAAATAGTTACAAGGCGAGGGTGACGGGGCGATGCACAATGTGGTAATAAATTGTTAGTCAAATGATTATTCCAGCCTTACTAGCGTGCATTTCTGAAGGCACTGCACAATAAAACTATCCCGCATATTCAAATGTATAAAACAAAGCTCTACAAACAGCTTTCGGTATCTCCTAATGACTGATGAACTCCCGGAGTTCGATCATCCACTCACCTTCGTCATCGCCACTGAGCAGACACTGGCCGGCGGTGGTGTAGAGCGAGAACGAGCGACACACGAACTCGCGGCTGTTTGTGCACAGACGCTCACAGTCGCGCACCCGGTCCACGCGGGGGATCGTCTGGTCGATGTAGCGCGGGAACTTGTCCGTGAGCGGAGCGTAGTCGCAGCGCGTGTCGGCTGTGGGTGGTAAGAGGGTGGTAAAAGGGGTGCGAAGAATAATTTGGAGGCATCCCCAACCCTTCGTGATGCTCCAGTGACGTTTCGCCGAGCTCGGTTGGGACCTTTTCTACAGATCATTCGGTGATAAAAATGAACAGTTTATCTCAGGTCAAGGAGCATCTAAACAGACATCACAGTTAGCGACACTCCTGTGATGCAAAATCTAAAATGATTGGTTTCACGAAACAGGTAAAAAATAGTTTAACTAGCGAATGGCACAAGTACGTTTCGTTCTCTATATTATTACCGAAATGTCACACTCGGTGACATTCAATACGACGCTTTGGCTCGGCAAATACTGACCTCCGATGCACTGGTTCTCCAGGTACTCGACGCCTCGGCTGCTCTCGACGTAGTCTTCGGGCATCTGACGGCGACTGGCGCGACTCAGCCGACACTCGAGGTTCTCCGAGTCGAACGTCGCTGAGCTGCAACCACGTGGCAAAATAGCATGTAAGAGGAAAACCTGTAATTGCAATACTACGACGAATGGACTACTTAGACCTTAGACAGCTTTAGATTGAAACTTGCATGGCGGATATCACGAATGGCTGCAATGGAGGGCCGAAAACAGTGCGTTTTATCTTATCGTATCCCCATCGAAATGCATCATTGCCAGTCCTTTCCAAATCCAAGCTGCCTATTTTACAGAGAACTACGTATATAGAGGACTAATATCTCTAACGGGATATTGGGGCTCATACATGCGAGGAACGGCATCTCCTACCGGCAGCCGTCCTCGAGGCAGGCGTTCTGACAGTCCTTCCTGGTCGGCACCTGGCGCAGGACGCGGTCACCCCGCTGGAACCTTAGCTGCATTCCTGGCACGCGCTCGAAGGCCCACGTCTTTGTACGGCACTGAGATCTGGCGGCGCCTGAAAGACCACATAACGTCTTCAGTGAGTTGAGCTACTGCCACACAAATTTGTTTATTACCGGGGGCACATGCGCAAGTCAAATTAGTCATTGCAAAGTTTTTTTCTATTGCTCTCAGTATTGTAATCCATCTGTGACACATTAGCACCACACTACTCATGTAAACCGGAAAATGATACAATTGATGCAAATGATGCAAATGATGCAAATGATGCAACAAAATAATAAAATAAAACAAAATAAAAAAATAAAATAAAATAAAATAAAATAAAATAAAAGATGCATCAATTCTGTTATTTGCCATCTTTGCGTTATACAATACTGTAACTCGTCTCATGAGCAATACAGTAGCAGTGGGTTATGTCCCGCTCTCAGCTCTGTGAAACCCCATCCAGGACATGCGCTATCTGTGTCCGGTATCACAGTCAATGTTATGTTATGTAAGCGGGATGATATGCCCCATGCGTAGGTCGTTGGCCATTCGGAGATAATCCCCCAGGGGCCTCCATTATACCTCAATGATAGCCGACGACCATCCTGCCTGTCAAATAGCTGGGATTTAGTCTCGATTGGGAACGTCGGGTGGCAGCCAACGGGAGCGAGGTTATACCACCGCGTATTACCAATTACCAGTGTCGGGGTACCGAAACCAGGTCACAGGAGGTGAGTCCAGGTCAGAGGTGCGGTGCAGCGTGCTGATGACCGGCAGTGGGCCTCTTTGCGGGGATAGTTTAACCCACGCGGGGCTGTGGTCTCCAGCCGAACGCGCGGGGCTGGGGGGTAAATTTTACCCCCTTTGTTATCTCCCGAACAAATGGTCCGATTTGGAAAATTCAAACGCCAATCGAAAGATCTCATCACAAACAATTAAAAACATGTACTTAATTTAAAGTTTGAGGTCAAAGCCAAGGTCAGGTCAAGGGTACAAATTGCAAGTTCCTACTTCCTACAGTACCGGCCTTGCACCGTAGTTGCGGAAGAATGGAGTCATGGACTGAGACTGATTGCCCAAAACGTGTTCTTAGGCTACCAAGACAATATTCGTTGCATACAATATCATTCAGAGGTCAAGGTCAAGGTCAGGTTAGGTCAGGTCAGGTCACCAAAAACAAAATATAGAAAAGGGCATGTGCGACACATGTTTTATTTGTCATTTTACTCATAGAATTCAATAGACACACTCAATAAGTGATATGGACCACCTCTGGATGAATTTCAGGTCGAGGTCAGGTCAAGGTCAGGTCAAGTGAGGTCAAATTTTGAAGTTGGTTGTTAAGGCCTAAAAAGGTAGCTATCTGAAGCAGTTTTTCACGGCGAATCGAATGGTGCTATTTTTGTTTCCGTACGATGTCTAGAACTTCCAAAAAAAATCATTTTTCAAAATTTTTGTGTGTCGTGACGTCATAAAATTTTGAATAACTCCCACATTTTTGAACCGATTCTTCTAAAAATTGGTATGTAGGTGCACATAGACCACTTCTCTGACATATATTCCTGTTTTTTCGATACACTCAAAATTTTGGATTTTATAATTATTTTCCCAAAAAAGTCAGTTTTTTTAATTTGGGCAAAAATCCAAAATTTTCAAAAAACCGAGATAGCCATTTGATAGACAAAGTAGAATTACGTATAACCTTTTTTGTTTCGTCTTGATTCCTTTAAAAATGAAGATGTTAGCGGCGTTTGAAATTTTGCCGTTTTTTTAGGCGAAAATGGCGAACATGACGTCACTAAAACGTCAATTTCTCAAAAAAATTCCGACGGATTTCGCTCAAATTTTCAGGGAACGTGTCAAATTGATGTAAGAAAAAGTACTGAAAGTTTGGCGGCGCTGCGCGCCGCTGTTTTCGAGATATTGCAAAAATTCGCGAGGGGGGGGGTAAAATTTACCCCCCCCAGCCCCGCGCGGGTTAACATAGCCATGATACATTTGGTACCTAGACTGCTTAGATAAAGGTAGTAGACGTTCACCGTCACCCGTGTCATCCTACATATCCACAATGGTAACTGATAGCTGTGAATGTTACATTTTCAAGAGATTACCAGTCTGAATGTACTTGTATATACGCAGCAGGATACCGAACCTGATGACCTGTTCGTTCACAGTTCGAGTTTTGCAGTGTCATGTGGGCCAAGGCCATTCCACTTTGTTACCTCTTTCTGGTTCGATACATGACCGGTTTTGATAGGTTGACGGCACAAATGATTGAGCCCAAAGCCTAATAGATAGGACCGATAGGAAAATCGAGTAAGTGCAAGCATATGAACTATGAGCGCTTCCATTTTCATAATGTTTTGAAAATCTTCTTTCTTTATAGCTCCGTATAGTTCCGCTAACGCGGCATCAGAATACAAATTTTGTTTCTGGTTACTGCCGAAGGTAGTTGAATGATGCATTCTACGTTTCTTATTGTACCTATGTCCTTGTATGTTAACAGTTTTTGGTTATTTTAAAATATTAAAGCCGACAAAAGGAATGGTACCTAAGTGCAAAAAGCGAGTATGAGATCGCTGCAGTCTAGCAGTTATGTAACAAAGTACGATAACTTCCACTCGCGGGAACATCCTGTGACATTATACTCCTCGAACAGTCGACACCGGTCTCGGCGCACCGCGCGGCCTCCAGCCGCCTGGAATTCGCCGCTACTTCCGGCCCGGGGCCCGTGCCGGTGCGGGTCGGCCGGATTTACATGGGTAATGGCCAGCGGGTGGCGCGGCGCCCCGCACTGCCAATTGGCCCCGCTAACTGCCGGGTGTGGCTCCATACAGCACGGACGCCCGGCCGCCGCCCATGGGGTGAGGGACCCACCGCCTCGCCGGGACGCCGGGACGCTGCGACGCTGCGATGGGGAGCGGCTGAGAATGGCCCACGGAATATGCTCCTGTCAAGTTTGATGGTTTCAATTGGTTTTCGGCAAGGACGGGGCCGGGTATTTTACATATGTAGAAATATGACGATACCGTCTATATCGGTCTTAGGAAATGAACTTGTGTGTTTTGAGCATTTACTTAAATACTATATCGCTTATATATTATTGTTTTTGAATATTTGATTATTAGCCTCATGGACAAACAAAAATTGATGGAGTGCGTTGATTTGCGCAGTGCCTATTAAAATATCACATTTAACAACCTTCGTGTTGTTTATAGCCAGTTCATTAATTAAGTGAGCCTACTGTCGGGACTCTGGGTTTATCTGTAAAATTCGTCAATCTGAGTCAATGCAAACATTTTGGTTACTGTGTATCCAGATGCATGAAACAGGTCACGCACTTTGGCTTGGCCCGGCTGTAACTATTCGGAATTCGCGATCCGTTATGCTAGTTTGTCGTCAGCGACGGTGGCACAGAACTAATCTCATGGGGTCATAATTGTGGCTCGATGATGGCTAGCCGCCATTTTCACTGCCAAATAGCCCGGACTAAGCTCCGATTGGGGACAACGGGTTATTGCTACTGTTGGCGAGGTTACTGCGCATTTGTATTGGCAGAGAGGGGTGGTACAGCAGAAAACTAGTAAAAACGGCAAATGTTACCTGAAGCTGACTCTCTCTTGATCTTGTCAGCTGGTGGGCCTTGGTGCGTAGCTCCAAGCTGGAAGCTATTGCAGTCTATTAAAATTCTTCTCGAGTTGGTTATTGTGCAATAATTAGCTAGCAGCTATCCCAGCTTTTTAGTTGAACGTTTGAAATAACCTATACTGAACAGTTGAACACATTTCTCGACACATTTCAGCTGTGGGTGAACCGAGAATACCATCGATGTTGATATGCATCTTTTTTATGAACACAATAAACGCACGAGCAGCTGGGGCATTCCACGATAGATCGTACCACTTTTTCCAATTTGACACCCTCATCTCTCGGATTTTAACGATAATTGGTCTGAGGGGTAATCAGGGGCTCTGAATCCTCCTGTGACAATTTCAGGCTAATCCGATGAGTAGTTTTTGAGTTATAATGTATAACATGTTTTGGATCTTGCGTTGCAGCGCCAAGTTTGACGGGCTGTAACTCTAAGACGGATAATCCAAATGCCATGCTATACGGCATTGCACTTGCATTGAAACAAAGAATAATATGCATTTTAGAATTTTGAAATATAAACTATTTTTGATATATAACACATCGAGTTTCCTTTCCCAATATCCCGTGACCGACCTGTCAATCAATGATTGTCAATCAAGTCAATCACCATTGACTTATAATGGTGAGGTCACGTGACCGACCTGACCTCATGTGACATTTAGGTTAAATCCGAGATAAACAAGTTGTGAGACCTCAGAAGGATACTACGTCCTGTAACTTTCATCTTCCTGTGAAAGTTCCTCTGGCACTGAGGGCGTTGCAAAGTTGCAACTTCTGAGGACCGTGCAGAGGTTCATTTATGACGTCATAGGTCAGTGACCTGACCTGACCTGAAAACGCAGTTGGTGTCAAAAGATCCAGCTTGAATAAAATATTAGGTATGCCAAGTTTCAGCTGTTTTCCCTCAGCGTGTTTTGAGCTATCGCGAAAAACCCCTATGAGGCGGCATCCGCCCCACCCCTTCTCGGCCGACGAGGGTTAATGTACTAATTCATGTACATGTATGAGCAGATATAGTATCATCTCAGCTAAAATATATCACTAATTCATGTTCGATACATTCTAGTGTTAGTATAAATATTCACTCATTATATTTTCAATTTATTTGACTTTTGTGCATGACGAATATTTACTTTTCAAAAAATAGGTGCTATCTCCAAAATGGAAATTTTTTCAGATTTCAGGGACCACACCATCGGATTCCTCGCAAAATTTTGGTTCAGAAAACACTAAAATTGGAGATAGGTATTTTCAAAAGTTATTTACCGTCTGTTGGAGCAATGTGCGCGGACTCGGGGCGGTCACGTGATGCCCGGGGGCTGGCTGCCGGCTGGGCCGCCCGGTCGGGGAGCGGAGCCAAATACACGGCAGCGTGCTGACCCGAGGTCAGCGACTTAAGCTGACCTCACCAGAACAAACAGTATACCATTCGACGCGCCGGAGCTAGGCAAACACAAAGATGCTAAAATCGCGGCTCTGCGACCATTTGTTGCGAAGTTATCTACCAAAAACCGGACCCGTAATTTGGGTCACTTGAAATGACCTCAGGGGTCACCAATGAACCCGAGACCTTAAAATGTGGTATCATTCGATGTATCTTGTAACGGCGCACATGCTCGTTTTTTTCCGCAAGGTTCTAGGTTCATTAGAGGCGAAACGGCGAGCTGGGGTCGTACCGACCCCCGGAAACCAATTTTGTATGCATTAAAATGAGGAACTTATAGAAAGAACACCTTTCTAATTGTTTGCATGTCGATTTTAAATGACCTGAACTTTATTTTGAAGAAATAAAAATGGCTAAAAATTTGGTCCCAAGGGCCGTTATAGACAAATTGAAAAAATATTACGACTTTTTTCAATATGTAAAGCTTTTCTTTCCAATTTAAAAAAAAAACTGTATTAATCTTTGATTCATCGTTAGTTCAAAGCTGTTAACCCGCGCCCCGCTGGGCTATTCAGCCATACGCGCCCTGCTGGGGGGGGGGGCAGATTCTGCCCCCCCTGTCCAACTTCCGAACCGATGGTCGTAGAAAGACGGGGAAAACGGCAATCGAAAGCTCTCAACAAGGCGGATCTTAAGAGCCCACAATTTTTTGCTTAAGTAGGTCAGAGGTCAGGTCAAGGTCAGGTCAAGGGTACAAAATGCAAGTTTCTACAGTATCGGCCTTGCACCGTAGTTGCCGAAGAATGGACTGAGACTGATTGCCCAAAACGTGTTCTTAGACTACCAAGACAATATTCGTTGCATACAATGTCATTCAATGGTCAAGGTCAAGGTCAGGTCAGGTCAGGTCAGGTCACCAAAAACAAAATATAGAAAAGGGCATGTGCGACACATGTTTTATGGGTCATTTTACTCATAGAATTCAATAGGCACACTCAATAAGTGATATGGACCACCTCTGGATGAATTTCAGGTCGAGGTCAGGTCAAGGTCAGGTCAAGTGAGGTCAAATTTTGAAGTTGGTTGTTAACCCGCGCCGGGCCGGGGGGGGGGGTGTTTGAACACCCCCCTGCGGTTTTTCGCAGATATCTCAAAAACGGCGGCGCGGAGCGCCGCCGTTTTTGGCACACCTGTTCGTGCATCTTTTCCGCACATGTTGTGGAAATTTCAGACCCAGGTCACTTTAGGTCAGGTCACCAGGTCACGCCAAGTGACCTCACCTCAGAAAAAATAAGAATGCTCGTCATAGCTACACCGATTGATCGATTGCCTTGAAACTTTCAGCGATTGATTAGAGCAACATTATCTATAAAATTTATATCTCGGAATTTTGATATCGGTGACCTAAGGTCAGGTCAATTTTGCGACCTCTCCATTATAAGTCAATGGGAGAAAATTGAAAAGCGTCTGTTTTGCACGAACGCTATTCTAGACACTCTCAAACATCGAGATGTAGGTAAAAGGGACACACTGAACCGGAAAATGGCAACTGTGACCCCTCGTTATGTCCCCGAGGTCATCTCAGGTCACGAACAGAATCTAACAGTTTTTCGCTAATAACTTCTGATAGAGACGTGCTAGAGCGCTGAAAACGCCTTAGATGTGTTCGGCTCGACGTTGCGGATCGACTGATATGCAACATGACCTTTTCCGGTCAGGTCATGACCTTGACCTGAGGTCAAATTTTCAAGTTGACCTTTCAAGGTCAAATTATAGTTCATTCGACGCGTCTCGACGAGAGGAACACGATGGTGGCAAAAGTAATGTCGTGGCTCTTTTGAGTCAAAAGTTATTGCCGAAAAAACGTTTTTCGTAAAAACGGCTATTTTTGGAGTTTTTGCCCTCTGGAGGCTAAACCGTTGACCTGAGGTCAAATCTGAGAACATTGCTCAGAAAGGTCTGTAAAAGGGCTATCGAATGCGCTTTTCCGCGGCGCTGTAGCTCTATCGGTTCCCGAGATAGCCGTTGGCAGTTTCCAAAATGTTGAAATAGTGGACATTTGACCTTTGGTGACCTCTGGTGACCTGACCTTTGACCTGACCCAAAAAATGACCGAAGTGTTTTCGTCCTTATTTTGGACGTTCTTTCGATTGCCGCTTACCGCGTGTCGCTACGTGGCCCAGGAGCCGAGTTAAAAGAGTTAAGCCGCCCCCCCCCCCCGGCACGGCGCGGAATTTCAGAGCACCGGCCCGGCGCGGGTTAAGGCCCAAAAAGGTGTCTATCTGATGCAGTTTTTCACGACGAATCGAATGGTGCTATTTTTGTTTCCGTACGAGGTCTAGAACTTCCAAAAAATCATTTTTCAAAAATTTTATGTGTCGTGACGTCATAAAATTTTGAATAACTCCCACATTTTTGAACCGATTCTTCTAAAATTTGGTATGTAGATGCACATTGACCACTTCTCTGACATATAATCCGGTTTTTTCGATACACTTAAAATTTTGGATTTTATAACTATTTTCCCAAAAAAATCAGTTTTTTGAAAAAATTTGTGCCAAAATCCAAAATTTTCAAAAAACCGAGATAGCCATTTGATAGACAACGTGGAATCACGTATAACCTTTTTTGTTACGTCTTGATTCCTTTAAAAATGAAGATGTTAGCGGCGTTTGAAATTTTGCCGTTTTTGCGGCGAAAATGGCGAACATGACGTCACTAAAACGTCAATTTCTCAAAAATGTTCCGACGGATTTCGTTCAAATTTTCAGGGAACGTGTCAAATTAATGTATGATAAGGTACTGAAAGTTTGACGTCGCTGGCGTAACGCGTTTAGAAGTTATTGGCGAAAAACGGGAGGGGGCAGATTCTGCCCCCCCCCCCCCAGCGGGGCGCGGGTTAACCCGCGCCCCGTTGGGCTCTGCCGAGCAACGCGCCCCGTTGGGGGGGGGGCCATTTTGGCCCCCCCCCTAAGATCTCGAGAACAACGCAACCTAGCGACAAGCGGCAAAAGGTGTTGGATAGCCCTATCAGGGAACTACCTTGTGACCCAATTTTATTGACCTAGGTCAAACCGATGACGTCACAGGTCAGGTCAAAGGTCCAATTTTCACCGTTTATAGGCATTTCAAGAAATGCGTTGTAAAATCGAGTAAAATGCATTTCATTGAAAGTCATCGATGGGGAAATGTTCTTCAAACACATATTTTGCTATTTGAGGTCACTGATACCAGGTCAGGTCACAGAGGTCAGGTCACGGGGGGGGGGGTCACAATATGAAAGTGTCGTGTGATACATGTTTTATGGTCCATTTTACATGACGAATGCGATTATGTGGGTCAGGCAGCCTTTGGGGCCAGCTTAGGTCACGTTTTGGTCAAGGTCAGGTCAAGGTCAGGTCAAGGTCAGGTCAAATTAGGTCAAATTTTAAAGTTAATATTTTTGCATAAAATGGGTATCGAATCGATGCAGCTCGTCACGGGGAGTTCAATGGTGGTCTTTGTTTTGCCGTACGTGGTCTAGAATCGCTAAAAATTGAGTTCAAAAATTTGACGTCATCATTTTTGAACAGTTTTTTCGCTATAACTTGGCCAAAAAACGAGATATCAATCTGAAATTTGGTATGTATATAGAAGAGCGCAGGGACTATCACATATATTCCGGTTTTTTCGAAATTCGGAAAAATTTTGGATTTTTTCTTAGTTTTTCTAAAAAAATCAATTTTTTGAATTTTTTGGGGTCAAAAACCCAAAATTTTGAAAATCCGAGATAGCAGTTTTGTAGCGCCACTTTTTGTCTACTACACCATATAAAGAACTTTGAAATTGCTTGATAACTGTAGATTTGGTGAGCGTTTCAAGATTGCATGTTTTTTGGTCATTTTTGCTCGAACATGACCTCAGTTTGACCTCAATAACTCCTGACCTAAGGTGACCTAAGACTTGAAATTTGGTGTGAAGGTGTCAAATTGATGCCCGGGAAGGTACCGAAAATTTGGCGGCGCTGCGCGCCGCCGTTTTCTTGCTATTCAGGAAAAACCACAGGGGGGGGGGGCCAAAATGCCCCCCCCCCCAACGGGGCGAGGGTTAACCGTTTGTTGCTTGCTTAGCTCGTTTTTGAGTTATAGCTCATCAAACTCATCCTTACAATCTGATGTTTAGAAAATATTATGCAATGTAGCTCAAAAAGTTTTCATCTGAGAAGTCTGAAAATTTGACAGGCGTTTTTGGAGCCTATGATTACCCCTAGTACCAATTTTCATTCAAATCTGAGAGATGAGGGTGACGGGCCTGGTAGGTACATACGATCTATCGTGGAATGCCCCAGCTTTCACTGAAACAGCTCGGTATGAAGGGCAATGACAGACCCCTCCCTCCAATTCGCAGACATACCGCATGGAGCACAAAGCATTTCAGGGAGTGGCTCCCTCCCCATTCCCGCGAGCCACTCGCCAGTGCGCACCCTCGCCGGCGCCATGACACCCGCGACCGATCATCCAATCAGACTCAACCACAGGCCCGGCGGCTAGCTCCGACCAATCAGGAGCCATGACACATCGGCGGGCGCTGCTGCTGCCGCTGACCGGCGGCCGCGGGCGGTGCCCCTCCCCTCCCCCTCCCCAGTCTGCGGTTCCGGGTGGGGTGGGGCTCCGACTGCTCCCTGCACCCGTGCTCGGGGGAGAGGGCGGGGCCAACCGGAGGTGTGGTCGGTGGTTAGTGACCCTCTGTGTACACAAACCGATTGGTGATTGAATCGATCGGTGTCTGTCTGTCTGTTTCCGCCCCCCCCCCCCTCTCTCTCTCTCTCTCTCTCTCTCCTCTTGTGTGAATAAAACCACCAGTAGCATGCACACTGCACAATGATGAACGGTTGTTTTGTACTCACGCCCGAGGCAGATTTTCTCGAAGTAGTTGTAGTCCTCTCGTGGCTGGAGGTCGCGGGTGCGGCCCTGTGTGTTGCGGTCCAGGCGGTAACAGCGCTGGTTGGAGTAGTCGATCACCAGGGCAGGACACTCGGAGCCCGCCTGAGAAAAAAACGGAGACAGACGGAGTCAGAGTCGCGGTAGATTCGGCCGAGTCATATCGTAAGATGTGTCATGATCAGGAAGCCAGAATTTTCCGAAGGAAGATCATTATCTGAGTGACTTTTGAGCAAAAAGAAACCCTTGCACAAACTTATATCAAACAGCTGAAGCCATGTATCTCTGAAGGCAACGGAGTTTCAAATTTTCCGCACAATCCCGTTCAGGCTGAGGTGGAGACATGATCCTACACGACTCACCTCTCCACACTGTTCTGTGCAGGCGGTGGTGACTCCCTGCAGGGTGGAGGAGGGGACGTCGAACGGCTCCTGGTCGGCACCACGAAGGATGTGGCCGGTGATCTTCTCGTAGGTCAGAAGACCGTCCTCACACGATTCTGTCGACGAATGGATAGAGAGCGTGATGAAACACTGGGCGAGCGGATGGTGAATTGGAAGAGCATGATAAGCTATGAGTTCCGTTATTATGTAACTAAGTAGGTTGTCTAGTCTGGCTCGGCAACTGTGGTTGTTGGTGCACTGCTATCACTGCACCGGAAACGGCAGCGATTCATACAACTCCATCCAGTGTCCGGTTCGCCAGTCCTGTAAACCGTCCCGTTACCGTTACTCGCCCCTCCCCTCTCCCCCTCCCTCCACTAACCGAGAGTGCAGACCCGCTGGCTGGTGACGGCATCAGCCAGCGGCGGCAGCGTCACCCGTCCCAGGCTGACGGCGTCGTCGCCGCTCAGGTAGCACCTGTTCCGCTCGCGGTCGAACGTGTACGAGCGGCAGACGAAGCGCCGCTCGTTGGTACAGGCTGTCTCGCAGGAGGTCGCGGAGCTGGCAAAGTCCAGTGAGTCCGGGGTGAGAACACTCACCCCGCGCTCCGGAGGGTCGTACCGGCAGTCGGGCAGCTCTGTGAGAAAGGAGGGCGCATCATCAGCGGGAGAACTGCCAAAGTAGTGTTGACTTTTTTTTTTTGCTGAAATGGCAAAACATCCAGCATCTTCGCTATGTAGATTGATGAGCCAAGACGAACCACCTTTACCTCTTAACTCAAGAAAAATGTCACGACCGCTGCATGGTGCTCCAAGACTCCTCAGTTTTCGGACATGGATCCTTTAGCTCTGCTGTTATGTAGCGCGCTGGACCTCTATTTCAACTCACGTTTGGCGCACTGGTTTTCGAGGTACTCGGTGGTTCCTCGGCCGGGTCGGAAGGCGTCCGGCTGAGTGCGCCGGTCCTCCCTGCTCAAACTACACGTGCGAGCCACGCTGTCGTAGTCGGCTGACCTGGGGAGGGCGTGACGGGTCATCATGTCAGAGCGGCGGGTCAGGTCAACGGGAAATAGAAATATACGTTAGATATGTGGAAGCATCCAATTTCCAAGGTTGTTGCTTACCTATGTAATGCTCATATTCCTTCAGTTCATTTTATTTTGATGTTAGGTATCAATTTTGTTCATATAAGTCATGCATGTCTGTCACATGATTTGCAAATAAGAGAACAGTGTTATCCCATGCGTAATGACGCTGAGAGCATGTCACATGCTCCCTCTGCAGCCAGGATATTTTTCACGCGTCGTCCCCCGCACACTGACCTGCAGTTGAACTCTGTCTCCATGAGGCAGGCACGCTCGCAGTCGACCCGATTCTGTACGGATCGCACCTCTTTGGTGTCGAAGCCCTCGAGCGAGGCTCCGAGCACGCGCTCAAACACCCAGAGCCGGTCGTCGCCGCACATATCCGAGAACTCCTCGGCAACTGCCGCCGAGAAACATTAGGTTAGGGGCTAGCTGTTGCGTCAGGGGTCAAAGCAACGGACAAAGTCAGGCCTTTTATGGCTATTACAGTGGGTAGAAAACTTTATCGCAAGAACAAAAATCTTAAAATGCACCTATTTATCCCGTAACCAAATAAAGACGCAATAATTCTGTAACTGCTAAATAATACACCATGGAATGTTTGTAGATCTCGCGCGTGGTTTCATGATAGAGGAGAGCTGCCCGTCAGAGACTCACCTCCTCTGAGACATATTTCCTCGTAGTAACTGCTGCCTTGTCTCTCTACCAGGTCGACCTCGCGGCCGCTGGTTTCCAGGTCATACGATGTGCACCGTCCGGACGGATAGTCTGTGAGAGATGTTGTGAACGAGGTCAGGATTAGAAGTTTTGTGACGTAAATATATCCCGCAAGAATCTATGCATATCTCTAAAGTTGTGCACCCAATTCACCACGTCAACTTCTATCATAATGCCCTAAGAGCCTCGGTGCCACGGGCTGACACGAGCTCATGACGCCGGGGCCAGCGCCACCATCTTGAATGGCGCAGCAGCCGCCCGCCGGAGACAGTGATACTGTACCGCAGAGCAGCAGTGTCGTGCGGCACAGCATACCTACCAGTCACGCCGCCTGACGCGCTCAGCCGGTTGTGGTGTCAATCGGAACTTGAATCATCGGAATTCCGATTTTGTCCAATGTCCAATTCGGAATTCGGTTGGACAATGACAGCAGGCTTTGGACAACTTTGGACAATCGCTTGCTACAAATCAACATTTTTATAAAGTAATCGTGTTTAACATTGATTGGCTATTAGAAAGTTCAGCTTTCTATATGATTACCACTTTTGAGCTGGTAACGATACATTAAAAGCAAATTAAATAACGGTGTTGAGTGTAAACTATTGCGTAGATGTCGGACATCTTTGGTCACGTGGCTAGCTTGGACATTTTTGGACGGACAGTCGACGTAAGTATTGGACATTGGACAGACTTTGGACATATGTTTTCTGAAATTGACATCACTAGCCGGTTCCAAAAAATATTGGTGAAGAAACGCTACAGAGTAATGTCAGCGGAGTGAAGTCCCCCGCCCCCCCCCCCCCCTAACCCACCCTACCCAAAAAAAGTCAGCAAATAACATATGCTGTCTGGATGAACTGCGGGTCCGATGAGACTCACCGAGTACGAAGCCGCGGCAGTAGTCTGCCTGGCTGCAGAGCGCCGTGCAGTCCCGTACCACCGGCGAGTTGGGGTTCACCAGCAGGTCCTGCGTCTCGGCACCTCGCGGCTGGAACGTGCGCCCCACCGTCTTCTCGTAGGTCAGCGTGCCTCCGAAACATTGTCCTGCAAGGAAGGAATGGTTACAGGTCATACGCAGCAGTCGGCAGGCGACTTGTTAGTGTGCCTTGTAAGATTTGATGTTTATATTTTGTAGATGGTTGTTATCTAAATCATGGACTGATGGGAAGATACTCTGTCCATGCCAACGGGTGCAGAGCTAGGGTGCGTTATCACAGGCTTGGGCTTGGTCGATCAAAAGATAAGATTAACGAACCTTGAGTGAAGGTTTTCTTACTTCATTTCTAATGGATTCATCTGTTTTGTGTGCGTCTTCATAATCTCGACACGTGAGGAACTCCTATTCGAGGGTCGTGTCGATGCGTCCCTTCTCTTGAAGTCCGTGTCCTATACTTCATCGCTAGCTCACCCCTTGCGGACCATAGGCGGCGGAACGGGGAGGGCACCGGGCCACCGGGCCCCCCTTTGATTTTGGCATTTTAACATTAGCCCTACGGGCTTTGCATGGAAAGAATGGGACCAAAAGTCGGCAGTGCCCCCCCCCCTTAATTGAAGGTGTTCCGCCGCTACTGTTGCGGACCACCACCGCGCTGGCTGGCTGTGTTCCGCGAGTCTGGCCGTGTCCCGCTACCACCCCGCAGCACAGTGGCCTTGGTGACAGTGAGCTCACGTCGCACGGATAACGGGTCTGCACCCCGCGCCACGGGAGTGGCCTCTTTGTCCTGCTGTCAATGCCATGCGTCATGTGAGCCGGCGCTTACGGCAGCCGCTGTGAGCCAGACCGATGGAAGCTCGGGGATCGGCGTGAATTGAACAATGTGGCTAGGGTTGTCGGTTTGTTCGGTGCACGTGATTAAATGGACTAAATCATTTGTTGCATTAGAAGTCAACAATCGAGGCATGTGTGTGTTGCTTACGTTAGATTTATGATGAAATGTGTACCTACTTGTCTGCAAGCGCGTTTTTGCGAGTGAGATAGACGTTTGTGTAAAACGATCATGCTTCGATTCACACTCACCTTCTGAGAGACTGACAGACGAAAGTAAAATTGCCAAAACCGCTGTTGCCTTCCATTTCATATCCTTCTTCCGACGCCCATCCTGGAACAGGAGCAGACCTTGGTCACGAACACTCATTGAAGTCACCAGCCAGCTATTGTCCCTGAATCCCCACCAGTTAGCCATGATCGCCCATGACCCGGTCAATCACCCATGCTGCTCATCATTTCCCAAAATATCACCCAAAACTCGGGATTCGCTAAAAAAACATCATCGGCCAGTGACCGGCCGTGCCCCCGGCAGCTCGGGGCGGGTGGCTATAGGACGGTGCCGGGAGGGGTAGGGCGGGGACGGGGGCGGGGGCGGGCTCGTCACGGCTGTGTAGGTCCAGTGGTGGACACGCCCCTCGTAATGACTCGGGACCGCGGTGGCGGCGGCTCTGGTGCCGGCTCTGCCGCGAGCGGACAGAGACCGGACAGGGAGAGAGCAGGGACACGAGTTCACAGGCACCAGGGACACGTGGGAAATAGAGACGAATGGACTGGGGAACAAATGGATGTGTGTAATCACAACGTAACAAATTGCTTGTAGTTGCAGCAAACCGAGAGTCTTGCTGTAAGTCTTACAGTCTTTTTGATAAGCTTTTAGTCACTGAGAAAGCATAAGGATTAGCGGAAAGTCAGGGAATACATTATTAGTTTATATCTTAGGTAGTACGTAAAACCAGTATAACGCCTTTTGGGGCGACTAACGGAGCGAGCGAGAGGGTGGGCCTTGCACGTGCGAAATTGCGAGGGGGTACCTCCAACTGATTTGTGCACGGCACCCTACTAACCGGTCTCTAGCGATGTGCCAAACTTGGGCACAATCGGCCCAGCCGTTCTCGAGATCTGGAAGCGGCACCCTGCACGTGCGCACGTGCAAAATGGGTCCCAACTGACTTGTGCACGGCACCCTACTAACCGGTCCCTAACTGTGTACCAAATTTGAGCGCAATCGGTCGAGCCGTTCTCGAGATCTGGAAACGACCCCTGCACGTGCGCACGTGCAGCAGCACCCCAACTCTGGCACATGGATATGCAGTGCCTAGTGGGTGCCTACCTACATGCCAACTTTCAGCGCAATCGGCCAAGTAGTTACCGAGATATTGCAACAATTACAAAACTGACACCTCTTTGTTTTGCACGTGGAACGTGCATAAGGGGTCACCCACATGCATTAAGAATAGTCCAATACTTGGAAGAAGGAATGAAACTACCCTAAAAAAATTACCGCATGTAAATCGGTCAAGTGGTTGCTGAGATATAAGCCTCGCAAAAGCGTCCGCACGGCCGGCCGGCCGGCCGCTCATACTCAGAAATTTCCGTTAATCTAAGGAAAGACTCCGCTCGCTTCGCTCGCTCCGTAATAAACTATCTTAAAACAAATTGGTAATTAGGCTAGGCAGAGCCATGATCAAACCTCGATGATCTTAAACAATATTGGGTTGACCGCATACCACCTTTACCGGCCACGCTACGACCCTGTCCCATCTGGCCTGGGCTCGCCCTTTGTTCCACCCTACACCCTCCAAACTCGGCCGCAGCACCACGGGATGGACCCGCCATCCGGATGCAGCTCTCTAATAGGGGCCATTGTTGCAGCGCTGACTCTGTGTTCACCGTTATCACACTGGCTGGACACGCTGACGGCTGGTCTGGCTATGGGGCAACCACGCCAGGCAGGGCACGCACGCCGAGTGTTGCTTGGCTGGTGGGCATGTCGGATAGGTCCTAGATCCCGATTGTGAGCAGACACATGGTTTCGGGTATTTATAACGTTTTAGTGTCCAGAGTTCAAGTTCATTACCTACTAAATCGTTGGGCGGGTGATGCATGCAGAATTGCAGAGGGTAATTGTGCAATGTGCAATGTGCACGAAGTGCCCTAAATAAGTATTGAGCACAGTAATTGATATTGGGAACTTGCTAATTATGCCGTTGGGACGAGATGTGCTGGGGCGGCAGAACACCAGCAATGCCTTCCACCGTCGCACCGGCTTCCTGTCTTTAATAATTTTTCTACGAGACTTTCGCATGGTTTACCATGTTGCAAAGGGCACCGCTATTCATTTACTGGAAAATAATTAAATGCAGTTGAATACGTTCGCGATGGGCCATGGTCGTCCTGGATCTTGTTACTTTACAAGGAAACTTATGAATAACAATGTCAAGTGTTGGGCATTATAAGCACGAATCATAGCCTTTTTCGGTCTGTTTTCATTCTCGGTGTGTTAATCTCAATGGCGATGAATTCTCGTGAGTAATTGTCATGCTCTAAGCCTGTTGATTGCCAAATTCGCGCATTGAGCCGACTGTCGCCACAGCATGAGCCTGGTCAGGCGGCACCCTCCTTGCTCCTTTCCTATCCAGCATCGCAGTCTTGGGTAGACGTACTCAATACACAGGTTCATTCGGTTGGCAGGTGAAAAAGCGCTCACTTTGTGACTGCCAATGAAATCTGGAAAAGCAATGGTTTGCAGCTAGACGAATGAATGAATTTGATTTGCATAAAATGAAGCAATTAATGCGGCAGATAAGGGTGCCAAACCAGTGCCGTTCTAATTGCCCTGTCGAGCTGGAGGTGGCCGGAGTGACATGACTCAGATCTATCTTCAATATAGTGCTGTAAGCAGAGTTTGACATTTTCAATGCGATGCCAATTAAACTACATGACGAATTTCGTCATGTGTAGTGGCTCGTAGACATAATCTTCACCAACAAAGTAGACATAATAGCAGGAAGACATTTGAGAGCGATGAGTCTTCATTTTTGTGTATATTTCGCCTTTAAAGTCTTTGTAGACTTTTCATTTACATGTTATTAAAAAATGTGGTATGGGAGGCTGTTGCGCACCAATCACGTTGACGGTTGTCATGATATAAATATGTCTTATGACCCGTAAGGCCTGTTGGAAGTTGATCATTGACGCACAACATGCGCCTAACGCTTCCCACTAACGCTTAACGCTAACGCTTCCCATGCTTTTGAATAATAATGAACTTCGATTCGCTGAGGTTCACGTTCACATTGCCGCACAATGCCTATGTAGAAAGGGATGTAATCTTGTATAGTTTTAAATGTCACGTAACCGGTATGTAGCTACTTTGCATGAAGTCTCTTGAAGCTCTTCGCTTATACTCCTTACAACCTTGAACGCTTGACATACGTCTCGGTGGGATGGGTGAAAGTGATGATGTTGATTGCTAGCTGTTGTTTATGCTGCAAATGCTTATTGTTGTCAGGCATCGATGACTTTCTGACTTGATGCTATTGCGTTAACAATGAGCAATCACTCAGTCACATGAAGGAAGCTATTTTTCGCCTCAAGAAGCAGAATGAATGCCAACTGTGCGATGGGTTTTCCACTTCAGTGTTATTGCAGTCTACGCAGCTGGAACCTCTCAAGCTGACAAGGACGGTTTTCAAGGGCAGGTTTGTGACAAACATAGAAAAGGCAGAATTAAGGAAATTATTCATCTGTGCATAGCGAATGCACACCCTTACGAGCCGTAAAAAAAAAACAGCAGAGCTGTTGTTTTTTGCGAGGCTGCTTTTTACGAAGGCTCAAGCCTTCGTTGGGCTATTATTGAACAAATAGATCTCATCTCAGCCTAAAGCCGAGGCCAACAGTTTTTTGTGGATAGGTAGTTGTGGACCAGAGAAATCTGGAGGAAGAGCCCGGCGGGCCGGAAAAAAGCATGCGAAAAAGTTTCAATCCACCATACAGGCCAAATATTCCCAATATTTGATGTTAATTATACGAAATTCATGAACTACAGAGTTGTGACAGCTGAAATGTGTTGTTCTGTTTTAAAGTGAAATATGTGCTCTTAGACAAACTGCCAGCGATAAGCAAGAAAGCGCCGTGGTTTCGAATTTTCGCCAGTAGCAGCCGTGGACCGAACATCAGACATCTCGGATCCGATCCGCGGGTCGATCTATACCCTACCTCTGCTCTACAACCTCAGATTCGCGCTCGACAGAACAATTCCGCTACCATCCATCCGCTCACACCGAGCCATTTCCGTGTTTACCGTTACCCTACCCACTAGCCACGGTTTCCGAACAAACGGTAAAAGTTCCACGGGTGGGGCTGGATGAGTGGGTGCGGCAGGGCGGGGCACGTTGGGGAACAGTGTGGCACGTGACAGGTCAAACGGTCCAGCATCGGGGCGTAGCAGTGGTCAGTGAGCCGGACCGAACCGGACCGACTGCACCGGACACTGGGCAATGCCGGAGATAGTGGACCGTTGCCTACCTGCTCAAATGTGAAAGCCTTCAAATCGACCGCAAAATTAGTGGGCTGTTGGTTTTGTAGCGTTAAGTGGTGTAAGGCATTCGAGATCTCATTACTAAAAAGATCGTCGGAAGAAATCAGTCACAAAACTCTGGAGAAATGGCATGAAATGTTTAGTGCCTGACCATTGAAGACATGCCCTTAATCACTTCGGTCCAACGCCCTAACTACTGAAGCAGTTTTTAGTCGACGTTGCGTGAAAGTGCATTTTAGAGTAAACAAGAAATATAGCTTTGCGCTCAGTATCTAGGTTGTATTTGTACGAATACAAAACTTGCAAATTAACTGTTCAATTCAAAGTCCGGAAATGATAAATTTTCGAACATTGATGCATATACGAACACACTCACTAAACATGCGACGCAGACAGTGTCATGACTACCTCAGTCGACCATCACACACCGAGGGTATTTGTTCTTAGACCGCCCCCATGCCGGACCCGCAGCTTGGCGAGCCCCGCGGCCCCGACCCCCACCGCTTACTTCCGGTGCCCGGAGTGTCACCGCCGGAAGGTAGTGACGTCATCTGTGACGTCACGGTCACGGCGCGTGAAGACGGGAGCGTCGTCACACTACCACGCGCGGCCAACAAGGTCGCGGCCCAGGAGGATGAGCGGTGTGGGCGCACTGGTGTGTGTAATGTGTTTTTATGTGGGCTTCTCTGAAAGGGAAGGAAAGAAAGAGAGAGAGAGAGAGAGAGAGAGAGAGAGAGAGAGAGAGAGAGAGATAGAGAGGGGTGAGAGAGGGTGTGAGAGGGAGAGTAAGAAAGAAAGAAAGAAAGAAAGAAAGAAAGAAAGAAAGAAAGAAAGAAAGAAAGAAAGAAAGAGAGAAAGAAAGAAAGAAAGAAAGAAAAAGAAAGACGAGTAGAGATGGAAAGGACAGAGAGGGGAAGAAAGAGAGAGAGAGAGTAGGGGCGGAAAGGGGTAGAGATAAATAAAAAGAGACAGTGAGAGGCAGTGCGAAAAAAAAGAGAAACAGGGAGAGAAAGAGAAACAAATAGTGGTAGGGAAAGGCGGAGAGAAACGAAATACGAATAATGGTAGGGAAAGGCAGAGAGAAACGAAGAGATCCGGGAGAGATGCAGGGAGAGAGAAAGACAGACAGACACGGATGATAGGTACGATGCAGGGGCATGATGAGAGTAAGACCGCTCCGAGCAAAACAAGGGCTGTCGACACAGTGGCCTAGCTACAAAAGTCATGGAGTTAGAGTGGTCTTTGCACCACACATGGTGTATCACGGCAATGACAGCTCATGTAAGGCCCACGTCAGAGCGGTATGCGAGATCGACCTTATAGGGGAATGACAGTGAGAGGGCTTAGTGTTGGGCCTGGCACGACGTAAGCCCCATGATGTGTGATAGCTGGAACTGCAAAGCATCCGGGATCCGAAATCAGCATCCGGAACCGGGCTTTCGTCAAATAAAAATGATTTATTTGCAATTAAAAGACGGTAGCGATGCAGTTGGTGTGCGAATTGTCATATCAACATGAAGAACAGCGACATTCGAGCATACAGGGGCTGTTGACGGTTTAATTCGTTGCCATTCGTTTAAAATTAATTCGAGATGATAGCTTATGCTGTTTTGCCTTCTCATAAACTGACTCACTAAATCTACTTTCATTATATTTACATTTATCAGGCATTGTAAGGGGAAAGTTTGTATTCAGTTAAGCGTTATCCTATCAGAAAATGACGGGTTTGAAAATAAAAGATAAAGTTGGGGCAAAAGGCAGTGATGTTTTCAGCCTGAAACACCAGAAGCCAAAAAAACTCAAGAAAGAGTCGATTACCTATATTGGAACATTGAAAATTAATGTAACAAAAAAGGAAGTATAGGTAAAAGTAAGATAACCAAAAATAATGAACCTGTGATTTTGAGGAGAAAGCTCTAGTTATCTACAGCGTTCAGTTCACCTGCAGGGCAATAGGTTCATGGGTATACGTAATGTCCTTTTACTGCGTTTCAGTGCATTAAATGTCATTGGAAGCACTTTCACCGGCTAGATAACAAATTTACAAACGGCTGCTAAATTTCATAACAAATCGTCATCAGCGACAGCTACACGAACCCTATCTCATAAACGCCAACGGGCCTCATAGACTAGTCAGGCCCCATAAGGTGATGATTGTAGCGATTCAGTCTGTGGCTTATCAAATCACCGGACACCCCAGACACTCGTATCACAATCACCGCGGCGTTCTTTCCTCGCAAGTACACACCAAGTTCACCGTCTCATAGCACCAGTATGAACCAGCGCGTCCTCCGTGCCGCCGCAGTCCAGTCGGCGGCGACCAACCCACCTCTATTCCAGGCGTCATCTCGGTGTGGGCTCGAGCCGCATCCCTCGCCGGTGGTGCCGCTCCGTTCCGCGGGAGTCACGGGGCCACACTGACACAGCTGCCGGCGCCGCTGACGGCACGGTCAGCCCGGCCCCAGGGCGGGGGCGGGGGCGGGGGCGGGGGCGGCGCGCACCTGGTGGCGACCCGTGTGGCGACCCGCCGGCGCCGCCATTTGGGTCACTGCTCTCGGCGCGGCGCCGCCCGGCCCGCTACGCTCCCCCGCGCACCCACTTCCGGTCTGTGGGACCACGCCTCTGGCGGGGAGGGGAGGGGACGGGAGGACTCCCACGGACACGGGCACCGGCCGTACTGTGATCATTGAACATCAGGTATGTCTCTTATACTAATTACTATGTCAATCCGTGGACACCGCCTCAGTGGATGTCTGCTGCCGCCATCCCCAGATCTCTCCGGTGCACTTGTCCCAGGCGGATCTGCCCTTCTGGCGCTCCATGACCAGTCCTCCAGCTTTCCTTTTTAACATTGGATCTCAGACAGGACTGATGGGGCTGTGACTAGCTCCTAGCCATGGCGTCAGACCTTTTTATAGCAGCCATAGTGATGAGTAATTGTAGAATTGTGTTAGCGGCTGATGCCGCATTTTGTATGTTATAATAGTGATGTATGTACTGCGAGTATGTAACATATACATAGTTTATACATACTCGTACTGCGAGATGTACTGCGAGTATATACTGCGAGTAAAGAATGCGCAACTGCCAAACCCTTATGCCCACAGCCACTCGAGTCGGCACGTTTACCAACGTTTATACTTCAGAGTCCTGTAAACATACACGAAAGCTAAACTGTCCTATGTGTTAAGTTTCTCACGCGATAATTCTTTATCCTCTTTTAGAGCTAGCATTTAGTATCGGGCCTTGTCAAACTACAGATAGGTACTGGATGCAGATAGTTTTCTAACGGTGTTCATCCTGGCTCCATTTATCTATAGGAATCTTGGTTCCACTAGCATTGTGGGAGTACGGTGTCATCGTTCCTGTAAGCTCCGGTGGACTTGGGGGACAGACAGTAAGCCTTCGGTGTCGGTTTTCAGCTGTTGTTCCGCTGCCACTTTAGATGTCAAAGCTGGCCGACAACGTGACCTATGGAAGCTACTGCACTTTTTCACTTTGACGACATCTGGAGCTGGTTGATACTTTTTTAATCACTGGACGAGAGAGATAGAGGGTTTTCTGGTGCATTGGCTACCGCTGAAACATCATTTAGTGGTCGGGGTGGGTAGTGGGTAGGGAAGGAGGGTGAATTGCGCCACCTTAAGGAAAAACGCTAATTGTAAGAAAACCGCTAGAGATATAAGCATGCACTGGTAACCATTTCAAAGAGGAACTCATTGGCTACGATTTAAGAGCCTCCCGATCAATTAAGAATGTTTCGTTTGCTTCTGACTGCTGCTTTTTCAGAAACATGCAAAAGGGCGCATTTGCCAACAACTGCTGTAAATTGCGCCAGGGGGATGGCGCAATTAGAACCCAATTGCGCCCTATACTTTAACATGGCTGAGCGAATGAGACGGAATGCATACACCCCGGCAGTCTAATGTCATTGCGGCTTACTTAAACATTCATAATGATATTCACGCAGGTTAAATAATAAATGTAGGTGTAAATCGCGATGTTTTTTTTTTTGCCCAGGTAGATAACTTTACATGTGTCCGTACGCTTGAAAAAGTGTAACGAAAACGTTTACTGTAACCGACTAGATATATGTGAACGTATGCGCCTATACGGTTACATTTTCAATCGTTTCTCTCAAAATTAGTATTTTTTATCGTTTCGACAGCTTTATGACATCAATTTTTACTTTTTTATCATAGCTGTCACCTCTCACGCCTGAGTCCATGTTGAAAATGTCGTATTTTGTCAATTACACCACAAGTTCGTAGCCTAAATGGCGGGTACATTATAAGTTTGACGAGAGAAATAATTTGCGGACTGACGACAGCGGTTTGCTCCCCTGCCTGACATTAAGCTCCTTCTTTATTGCAATCAGTTAATGATGCATTCATACTGTCGTGATACAATAGCTACACCATTATTCTATTTGCGCCCCCCTGGCGCAATTGCCATGGGCGCAATTAGAATTGAGGTACTTTTGAATAAAAGCGTAGAAGTTATCATAAAGATGTTGAAGGAAGTTTACTGTTTCAGTGAAATATAATGAAAAATGGTTTTTCTATCTAAATATCACTCTGAAAATCACACAAATAGGTATCACAATTTTTTATAGCCAACGGTTCAAAGTACTGCAAAAAAGCTAAGAAAACGCCGTAACATCTTTGATGGCGTTATGAGCCTTGCTGATTGGCTTCATCGGGGAGCTTGGGCCATAAAAGGAACTATCCAGTGGGGAAAATAATGTTTTCGAACACAAAATTCAAAACATGCCATTGAATCCGTGGGAATGTGGGTGGGCGCAATTGGTTAGGAGGGCGCAATACACCCACTTTCCCCTATACGCATATAAGATCTCTATGGGTATACGTGCAGTGTACATTCATTGCATGGTGTAACCTTGACCTTGACCTGTGCATGCCATCATATGCAACGCATCAATTGTCTTGGCAGGAGTTAACCGCAGGCTGTTTGAAAAAGACAAACACTATTCGTTAGATATTACGAGTGTGAGTGAGTGTGTGTGTGTGGGGGGGGGGTACCGTCACCCCAGCGCACCATCCGTCACAGACACATTACCAGCGGCGGGAGGCGGAACTGGTGACGGTTCCGATTGATTCCGGTCCACAAGTACCGTGTCCGGTACTGAGCGTCCCCCCGCGCCCACATTCCGAGCCCCACCCCACCCCGCCCCGCCCCGCGCTGGGCAGCGGCCGGCCGCGCCTCATTACAGGGGAGCGGTGAAGGACAGGGGACTTTGAACTGCTAATGGGACGCGCGGTCCTCTGTGAAGTCTGAGGGGTTGTAGGGATAGGGAACCAACATACAATTAGAAGATCGACTCCTTACTATTGGCTGATGCCCTGGGCCCCCAAGATCAACTGTTTCCTGAGTTAACTTAACCCGCGCCCCGTATGGCTATCGTAGAATGTAGAACCCTACCACCCGTAGAGGGGCGTCCCCTCCCCCTTTTAAGCAGTCGAAAAAGTTACCGACCAATATTCAAAATTCCAACGGCGTTCGATAGCCCCACCAGGGAACTACCTTGTGAACAAATTTCATTAACCTAGGTGCAGCCGATGACGTCACAGGTCATGTCAAGCTTCACTTGACCTGACCTTGGCCTGACTTTGACCTGAAGCTCATCCTGATATGGTCCATACCATTATCGAGTGTGCCCATTGAATTATATAAATTAAATGACGCACAAAACATGTGTCGCACATGTCCTATTATATGTTTTGCTTTTGTTGACCTGATTTGACCTTGACCTTGACCGGCGCATGCCATCATATGCACTATGCAGCTCATCTTGTCTTGGCAGCATAAGAACACGTTTTGGGCAATCAATAAAGCATGTAGTACCTCTTCGAGGGTAATCACTCTGCCCATTCTTTGCCAACTGCGCTCCAAAGCTGATAATGTATAAACTTGGATTTTTACCCCTGACCTGACCTTCTTAGCCAAAAAATGGCTCTAAAAGTCCGTCTTGTTAGCCCGCGCAGTGCGCACCGTTGGGCTCTGCCGAGCAACGAGCCCCTAAGATCTCGAGAACCACGCAACCTAGCGACAAGCGGCAAACGATGTTGGATAGCCCTATCAGGGAACTACCTTGTGACCCAATTTTATTGACCTAGGTCAAACCGATGACGTCACAGGTCAGGTCAAAGGTCGAATTTTCACCGTTTACAGGCATTTCAAGAAATGCGTTGTAAAATCGAGTAAAATGCATTTCATTGAAAATCATCGATGGGGAAATGTTCTTCAAACACATATTTTGCTATTTGAGGTCACTGATACCAGGTCAGGTTACAGAGGTCAGGTCACTGGGGGGGGGGGGTCACAATATGAAAGTGTCGTGTGATACATGTTTTATGGTCCATTTTACATGACAAATGCGATTATGTGGGTCAGGCAGACTTTTGGGCCAGCTTCGGTCACGTTTTGGTCAAGGTCAGGTCAAGGTCAGGTCAAGGTCAGGTCAAGGTCAGGTCAAATTAGGTCAAATTTCAAAATTGATATTTTTGCATAAAATGGGTATCGATTCGATGCACAGAGGTGCACAAACCTTCCTACTTGCCTACAATGTAGGAGACAGGAAAGAGCCGAAGAGAATAGCCACGAGACAGATTTCAGTTTATGTTTTCTGGTCAAAAATAACCCTAATAGCAGCCAACGAGTAGCAATCGATCGGTATAATCAGCTGTCAACGGCATTTGGTTATTACATTTCTTTGCATGTCTTCAAAAAGTTCCCACCAAGGCCGTTCCTACAAATCTCCTTCATGAGACACCCACGAGACAGTTCCCATTGGATTAACATTGTGTCTTATGAGACACCGTGAAAATAAAATGTAGGAAGAAAAACTGCGAAAGTGGTGGACATGTTTCAAAAAATGGCGCACGAATTCTTTAGGCGCCTACCAGTTACTATAAAACTCCTGTTCGAAAATGCGTGTCTGTAAAGTTTCGTCGGCTGGTTTCCATAGCAGCCGCCATTCGTGGAACAATCTGACGCCATTTGCTAGCGCGTTGCGTGGCAACCAGCTATCGGAGTCAGTTGAATTTCAAAGATAATTTTAACACTGAACAGTTAACTTTAGTTGGTCTACTGTGGAGGTGTGTCTTGTGTAGGACTTTCAAATTATATTCTGTGGTAGTGTGATAAGAAAAGGCTGTGAGAGAATTGAAAACTGCATGGGCCGGAGTCTGCCGCCTGCACTTCTAAAATCCTCAAACAGGCTTGTGGCAGGCGGTATTTTGGGGCGCAGTTGTGCGGCGGTACTGGTAAGTAACTAATTGGCTTTGTGAGAACTGAAAACTGGGTAACCATGCTAAAATCGTGTATCATGTGACATATTCTTGTAGGTATTGGATGAGCCAATTGATTTGTTTTGGTGCTATTTTTCCCATCCATTTTTTG